GCATAGGAAGCTTGCGCAGGAACGCATGCAGCTTCTGTATGCCTGTTCCTTTGACTGCGCTGGTGAGTACTACAGGTACTGCTGCGAGAGGGGAGTCTTCTAGCAAGCAGAGTGTTTTTTCAGTCTCTTCAAGATCGGCTGCTTCGACTGTATGCAAATCGGCTTCCAGCACTGCCGTCGAAGAGTCAGTGATGAGACAGGGCTTCCTGTTGTGCTCTCTCAGGGCCGAGAAGAGTTTGACTAAAGTACTTTTCAGCCCGTTCTTGGTAGCAAGATCATACTTGGTGATGACAATCACAAGTGGTAGCTCCAGAGCAAGGCATAGTTCCAAGTGGGCATGAGAAAGGTCGAGATCTGCAGCAGCTGGTCCAAGTAATTCTTCTGACGTGGGTGATGCTCCGAGCTTGCCAGAGGAATCTTCTGTATTATCTGCAGGCACGCACAAAAGCGTCCAATGTGGTTGCCTGTACCATATCAGCCCTAGTAAAAACATGGAAAATAGAGTAAACTAACCAGCCAACGATTCCACGAACAGTGGTACGTCTGAACCGGGGATGGCCGGCAGAATCCGAAAGAAACACGAGTCTGCCGCTTTCTACAGACTCAACTGCAGCATGAATATCTATCCAGGACGATACATCTCCAGACCCGTAGCTGATGACCTGCGTGTGATCGTCCGCGTCACGATATCCTATCAACTCTTGGGTGACGGAGCTGGTCATTCCCGATGCAATCTCATGTCTATGTTTGAGCAAACTAAGCCGACTTTTTCCACGGCCGTTGTCTAGTGTAGCGGTAGAAAGCGTGCCGAGTAGAGTGGATTTTCCAGACATAGTGGCTCCGGTGACTGACACCCGCATCTGCTCACTGGTAGCCTGTGGGGCCTTGGCTAGAGCTGCGTTGTTGTCTGCTGCATTTGACGTGTTCTCATAAGCGCCATTACAATTCTTCTTTGTGTGATCCACGAGATGCTGCTCCGGACGCACTAGAGCCTCGGCGACCAATAGTTGTGATCGCTGTACTCTTTGCTGTGTAGTTCCTGCATCTTCAACCCATTCACACTCGCCGACTGGGACCCTACGCAAGACTTCTACCCCACAGCCCAAACTCGCAGCCATGACGCGCAAGTTGTTCAGACTCTCTTCCATCTCATCCTCTGCTAAACCAACAATGCTGCCGTCATCAGCGACACCAATCTCGTAGAGCGCCCCCTTGCTCTCCTCAAGCCCAGGCAGAAGCCGTTGTGGCATTTCAGGGGCTGAGAGGCGCGCATCGCCCGGGAAATGAGGAAGCACGGGAGCTTTCGATGAGGATATGTGATAAGGACATGACTGTTGCAACCGCCACAACAGCTGCGTCGTCAGCTGCTCAAGACGATGCTGCTTTGACTGTGTAGAGGCCAACGGTGGGGGAGTATTTTGAACGAGGCCCGACTCGGATACGCTGCGGCCCACCGATCCTGGTATAGAAATATCACTTCGGCGCGTAGACCCAGACATATGCCGACCAGTGGTGGCTCGAGTGAACGACCGTCGCCGCCTCAGAAGTAGATGCAGCTTATATTCTGTTGGACCATCCTGAGGCTCCGCCTCCAACCTGGTAATATGTGTATAGTCTACTGCATCTGCTAGAGGATCTCCGTGTAGTCCTTGCTGCTCGCCATCGCCGCTGATTCTTGAAAGAGGAGACTTGGTCTTTTGGTAGGTATTCGACGGTTCCGTCGGGTCGCCAACTGAAGTTGCCGCCCAGGGCGACGAAACACGGGGCGGGTCGGGATCGAAAGTAAATATAGAAGCCATGTTGTTGAAATTGTATTTGGGTACAGCTGGAAGCGTCCAACCTTCTATGTATTAGTTGGGATGATGTGAAATGTGCCAAACTTGTCAGATGGTGTGTTAAGGTGTTCTTTTAGCAGAGACGGTGTGTAAACGTGGTAATGATCGCGAGTTAGTGTGTAAGAAGTGCGTCCGGAATAATTGCGATAAAAGAGGAAGCATTTTGACGGGTGTAGAGCACAAGTAATGGGTGAGACTTCGTCAAACGATAGCTAGAAACAGCTCGTTGGGGGAGCTGCGTGAAGATGCCAATGAGGCGATCACAGACTGAAGGAAGACATTTGTATATTCGATTTAGTGAGATAGTGAAGCAGATGATGGCAAGCGATATGGTGGTATGAGACGGTCACCAGAGGTTACAAGTATCAACTTGTCGTGATGTTAGCCATTGGTCCGAGCTCGGGGCTGCGGGGAGTCACCGTTCAGTGGGGCAAGCCATCATCTGTCGTTGCTAGGCTCCCATGTGAATCGTGACAAGACGCAACGCCCTTCTATCGCCCTTTGGCTGCGTAGCTGAGTGCTCACATCCGTATAAATTTTGTTAACACTTGCTGTGAACTGGTTCCATATGTATGTCATTACCACTATATCGCATAGTAAAAGGGCTGCTAAAGCATTCACGTCACCCGTAATCGTCGTATTGGAACGCCTTTCCACCCTCTTGTACCTGAAGTGTCATCTGAAACTATTGTAGGAGCATTAGGTCTGATTGCACAGTACTGTCGAGTCAACTGGTGATTCCTCCCTATATCTCGCAGGAGTTGCGTAGCATTGCGGCGCAGTAGATGATGTTATGCACTCGAGGGCCCAGATCTTGCCTGACTTCACACTCGTCACAGTGGGTTCTTGACCGGAAAACCGGCAACTCAAAGATGCTCCAGACTGTCGTCGTTGTGGACACCCCGTAATACCCCAGGGGACAAAGCAGGCCGAAGCTGGAGTATGGGCACGCATTGGCCACTCATATCTACTTTTGAGCTTCGGTGGCACTAATATGCATCAGCATCCACTGCAGGAGCCGAAGAAACACCAGTTCTAGTATAAGGTTCCAGGGGCTGGTGCAGTACTTGTTTAGTAAACAAAGACGAAAAGACTTGGTAGACAGGCATTGATTGGCTGTGACGTTGTCTCTTTTCTGCATGAAGCAGGTGTTGCGGCATAGTCAAATCGGCGCTGTTTCACTGAGATTTTTCTTCGTACCCATATGCGCCACTGTTAGTAGTTATTTTCTGAAGCTGCCAGCAATGAGCACATGACTGAGACATGCTGACTGCATAGCACAGCACATACAGATCGAAGATGCCGATGCCGACGCAACCACATTCAAGCCGTGGCCGGCAGCAGTAGCGGCCAAAGAGGCAACGACTAGCATACCGCTTTCGGCCGTATCATACCCCATTACGTCTATAATTGCGGGTCTCCTAGGTCGCACTGCAGTAGCAGGCAGTCTCTTGCAACCATCGACTACTTGCTGCCGTTTCGTCTCACAATCAACCATCTCCACGCGAAGGCCGCTTCCTTGCAAGCGCCCTGACCGTTTACTATAGGCAGCGAACGGCAACTGATATTAGCCGGCTTTCTCGAAGGTAGCACGGCAGCCTGTCTGAAGCGGCATAGCCAACAACCGAGTAAGTATTTGCGAGCTATGTCCATGGTCCTGGGGTTTGGCGTAACCAGGGAACATGCAGGTAAGCCTCGTGCGGCGCCCACGAGGTCACCACATGGGTTGTATACTCGGGCCATTGCTCCCTCGCGCGATGGGTTACCACGCGAGCGAGTATGCAAGTCAGTTGTTTGGCGATTCAATCGCCGTCATGGTCTGGCTGCAGTGACCGTGTCAAGTCTCCGCCAGGGAACGGGTCGCCTATAATGAGCTTCACAGGCTCTTCTACCCTAGTGTATATCACCTGCGGTGCGGAGTCCCAGAGATGCACATCCAGTTCGGTTCTGGAGAGGTTCCCGGCGCCCTTTGCGCGTCTGAATCACCTTGTCAAGGCGCTTAATACGAGATGAGGCTGGCCCCCACATGTCCCGACTTCCCCCTAGGATATACTTAACTCATGCATGCACATACCTACTGACTGTGATGTCGCCGCTCGGTCGAGATCGTATGATACAGACGTAGCGAATGTCCATCACTTCTTGGCCGCACCAGGTGCATTTTCTTTCGTATCAGGTCGAACAATCAAGGCCATCGTAATGTGGGGCCTCTTTCAGGCAACCGACCATACTATTCTCAGTAGACCATACGACTCAGACGTTTTGAGATGGGCCAAGTCGACCAGGGCTGCAACTGTGCCGCCGGCGATTGCACCCTGACACGGTGAATCGTCCGGCAACGAGAAAAAAACATCCCACGGACAATTGTTTTGCGCCATTCGCTGGGTGTGGGCAAGAAAGGAAAAAAAGTGGGCAGTCAGATACCTGGATCGCGGCACTCTCGGTCTCCGCACAACGGCGGAGCTTGGTCGCAATATCGCCAGGGTCCCCTTCTTTCAATCTTGTCAATCACATGCTGTATTTTAACGTCATAGCCGGCTACCGGATAATGTCCGGCGATTCTACCGCGCTTGTTCAACCCGCCAGAGGTCGTATGTCCGAGTGTGGAAACTCTTTCTTCGCCTCATGATACATGTCGCCTGTCGGGTAACCAACTCTCTTTGCGCCACGTCTGTCCCTCTCCCTCTCTCTTTCTCTGTCGTATCCCTGCGGGAGTTTGGGTCGAGGGATCAAGTGACTGTCATCCTTCCCGCGCAGCCGCGCCCCCGCCGGCTTGACCCTTGCAACGCTTCTCGCCTTAAAGTCCACACGTCAGCAGCAAGACTCGGGTCAGCATGTTGCAGTGGGGCCAGAGTGGGTGGGAAACAGCCAAGGCCCCTCTCCCTCGGCGCGTCTGTTCAATATCAAGCCCGAACCACCTGGACCGAGATCCCGAGTAGTTAACAATCGGAAGCTACTTATTATTGCGCACAGCACTCAAGCGCGCATAACCAAGGGGGGGATTCCGAGGCTCTGGTTCCGATGGAGGCCCTGAGTGAGAATCTGCAGGGTAGCCGTCCGGTTTGCTACGTAGGAGAGATGAAGGTCTTGCGCCAGTCGAGATAGCTGCCGTCTGCTCCTGGATGTAGTACTGCGGTCCGCCCTCGTAACCTCGCCTGATGGCCAATGAGGGCCGCTACAGCGACCATATCTGTTCGCAGATTCCTATTCGAGTTTCAACCGCGAGGCGCTGTCTTCAGCTGCAGTGACGGTCTTGGCAGCATGCACGCTGAAGCTTCAATCACCTTCTCGATGCAACTGGCGTCGAGCGACGCTGAACTACGTACCACTCGAGCTGTGTGTCAGACCGGAAATGCCCGCGTCACCGGTGCTATCCACCTATGCATGCATCTATGTACGCCATGCTGCGGTAGATTTGGTGTTGCAACTGCCAGCCCGCAACCCCCGATAGTCACCCACGCATCGCGGCTAACGGCTTCCGAGACAAGGACGACGTTCAAGGCAGTTAGCTCCAAGTATTGTCCCGCTGCCCGGTGACGAACAGGGTGACGAACAGGGCGACGACCAGCCCAGGGAATATTGCATACAGCATGTATGTACAACCAACGGATGGCGGCATTGCAGAGATGCTCACGTCCCAACGGCATGGTTCACTGACGCACGGTAGTCGCGCATGTCATGGTTGCTGACTCTGGGAGGCTCCGGATACAGTCAGAAGAAAAACGTGCTGCGCCTGATTGGAACCCTCGCCGTCATCGCTTCACGGCTGGCCGCTCGCCTGGACGATGGATGCGCTGCTCCTGTACGAGGCCTCTCCCACTCCCGCCCTCAAGTCGTGGCGACAACGGCCCGCTCGTCTGATCGTTACTCGAATCTGACAGAGGGGCCGTGCGGCCTTTTGGTCGACAGCCTCGCCCGCCTGGCCTTGGCTAATGTAATGCAGTGTGAAAACGAGTCTGGAATTGTTGGTGCGCATGCCCTTGAAATTACGTCCAAGCGATTTCGCGCCTTTCGAGTCTATTCGACGGTATTTCAGTCGCTGAGCAAGTCTCTACCTCGGCATTGCCTAGATTTTTGCTATGTCGGTTTAGCGTCGACGCTGCGTTTTTTTTTCGCACAAGCTCCCTCTGCGGACCCTGGGTTAAGATGGAAGACCGTGTCAGCAGCGTAGATGTGTTCTTTCACGAACCAAATAGCCGGGTTGATCCATGGGGGGGCAGGGGAAGAATCCCCAAGCAGCAAGTGTTCCGTGTTCCTGCTTTGCTGATTCCTGCAAAAAATCCTCCCGCTGCGATCTCTCAGCGGACAGGCGGCCACCACTCTGCTTCCCCGAGGGCCGTCTTCCCCGCCACGCGATGCCAGGAATTTGACCCAACTTGGTGCTTGTGTGAGCCATTGTGCGAGGGAACGTAGACATTCTAGACTCGACATGCCCTTGTCCCCTTGTCCCCTTCTGTGTCCCCTTCCAAATTCCACGTACATGATATCATAAGAACCAAGAAAAAACATGATAATAAACTGTGGGCTACAAGAAACATAAACCCGTATGCATTTGCTGGTCGCTGAACGCTTGATATATAACGCCTGGTGATGCTCCTGTTAGATCAATAAATCCCCCCCACAACCCAAGGATGCACAATGAGAAAAAACCGCACGCGCAAGGCTGGAATTGCGGTTTACAAGGCCCAATGCCTTGTCTTCCTGAGTGGCTCTCTCTCGGCCAGCTGGCTTATTCATAGAACGTCGGGAGCTTCCCTTGCGCGTTAGCGTACTGACACATATCTCCGCTTCGAGACATTGATAATCCGTGTCCTGGCATCTGATAATGTCGGGATTGCGCCGACTATGTTTGCGCCTTGCGGCCGCTTGCAGCAAGCTGGAAATGTCTAGACAAATCGAACGTTGAGACAAATATCCCCGTCTATCCTTTTGTTTCTGACGGCCTGCGTGGCTTGCATTTGTCATGCGCCATGTGTCCGTTTCTTGCAGTAGTGCGGGTAAACTCAGCCCCGCATCGGGGGCAGGTGCTCTTGGAGGCAGTTCCGGACTTTTCTCGCTGGTGCCGCAGCAGATTACTGAATGTAGAAAATTGTCGTCCATTGCATCCATGCTCCCAGCATTGAGGTTTCGGTCGTGAGTTGATGACTCGCGGCATTACTGGGTTGCCTTGCGTGCTTGGCGACGAAGAGAGTGCAGGGACTGACGCATTAGAAACTGGAGCGGTCGATGGTGAATCATATGCTGCGTATGTAGCAGGCGCTGTGTTGTTTGGTGGATACATGGTCGGTAATGGATGATAGTCACTGACGGCATAGGAGCTAGGAGGGTAAAGCTGTGGTCTATCTCCTGTTAGTGGGAAGCATACTTGATGCGCTCGACAAACTTACGGCGGGTAGGCATTGCCTCCTAGCGGCTGATTGGGGATGGTACCATGGGAGTTGGAGTAAGTGTAGGTGTGCGTGGTGGTACCCATAGAGGCTGGGTTGGCTCGCATGTGATCCGATGAGTGCTGCTCATATGGGCTTCGCGGAAGTGAAGGGTGTTGAGGTGGGTAGGGCGGTTGGACTGCGTGCTGTTCGCTTCTTCTTTGTTGACTTTCATTTGGGGCTGGGCTGGAAGAGTAAGGTGGGCCATATGGGCCTGGCGCCGAAGCCCTTGGCTCTCCATAGGGTTGGGGCGGTGGGTAGCCAGGTGCGTAGGATGTCTGGGAAGAACCATAATGGCCCATACCATATTGCGAAGAAGGCATCATGAAGCCCAAGGTGCTGTGTACATGAGATGCTATTCGATCACAACAGTCGGCGGGGTCTCGTACCTCATATCTTGTGACTCGAGGATTGGGTCGTGCGACTGCTCAAAGTCTGCCAGGGATTGGAGTTGGAGCGAGTGCCCGGTAGATGCAGACAATGACGGCGACGTGGGGGTTTGTTGACTTTGTGTTGGCAGAATATGATCAGTGCGGACTATCTGGTTACTAGTAGTAGGCACGACTGTCGAGTCTGAGCCTGGATGAGATTCGTGGAGAGAGAAGTGTGCGGGTTGCGCGTTCGTGGAGTCCAAGAATCGATCCTGGGCAGGGGAATTTGGTGGAGAGGAGCGATTGTGTGAGGTGTCGTCGAGAATGTGTGAGGTATTCCAGGCTAGCGAAGGTAGGTGCGAACCGGGCGTCTGATAATCAATGGGATTGTGGCGGGGCGTTGGCAAGGTTGCGGCACGGCACGAATAAGGCCCCCTTATTTGTGGAATTTCTGGTGGCTGAACAGACAAATGCTGGTTGACACGGTCCCTAAGTCTTTGTGAGATGGTCGTCGTCTTGGGTTGATGTGGGTTGGAAGACCAATGGGTCATGTTTAAGAGCAGACAGGCACCATCGGACGTGTAAGGGGACCAGAAGGGGGGGTAAAGACGTACGGTTTGGTGTGTGGACAGGGCTCTACGTGTGGAATTATACGAAGGTTATGGGCAATTTACACCAAGACAGCATTACCATTGAAACCCTGATGTTGGAACATGGGCGAGTGGTGTGCGTTGTTGCATGGGGGATGCCTGGAAATACAGGAACACGGTATCTGAGCTTCAAGACCCAACAGAGGCAGAGCGCTTTTCCCGGCTTTGCGGCTGGGGGGACTGATTGGAGCCTCGAAGGATGCGCAACCCAGTCCTTGACAGTGCTAGCCCTCCGGCCGTTGACTAGCCACAGAACATGCACCCGCAATAGCTGGTGTAGGCCGGGGGTATCCACACATCAGTAAGTATTGCGCGATTGTCTCAAGTGGGGTGATGGCAGGCATGCTTGCCCTGCTCAGTGAGGACTAGATTGTGGTCATGATCCAGAGCGTCAACCTGTTTTCGACGGCCATTCGCTGAGGGGAGTCGGATGCCACCCCCCACTGAGGACGACGAGTGGCAGGTGTGTATACAGCACTGGGAGGGGAAGTTATGCGAGCACTGACGAACGCCTTGAGGTACCATGTCGAGGGTTGGTGGCGTTTGTGGTTTCCCGCTCGAGACGAAGAGCCATACCGTGTCGAGTCTGGCCCTTTTGGACGGCGTGGCCTATCCAATCTCTCAGCGTCAGGGCCGGGTGGGCCGGAGGTGTACAAGAGGGAAAGTAGCTGTGGACAAGTGATTTCGGCCTGGACGGCCTGGATAGGAACATGGCGTGTGAGGACATTGCTGGTGCCGTCGAGGCCTTGGGACACGGGCGTCTAGCACCGCCACAAAGGGCGCCTGTTGCCTATCCTCAGCGTGGCCCCCCAGACGGCGAGTGTTTGTGCGTAGTGGGTTTCTATGTTTGGCTCGCTAGTAGGAAGTCCAACTATGGCCCGAGAGCGTGCGTCGCCCAAGCGGCCCGTTGTCATTCGGAAGCGGTGCCGTTACTAGCACCGGCAGGCGGTCGGCACGCCTTCGGGCATATGACTTCTCCCAGTACATGGGAATTTATGTATCCAGGGCAGCCCGTGGTCCCTTCCACCCTCCATGGCCGGATGCGTGCATGTTGGGCTGCACTGCAAATGCCCTGTTTCGCATGCCTTGGGGTCCATCGTCTTCTGGCGACCCCACCGCGTCCAGCTGAGGCCCGGGGTCTGACGTCGCCAGGCGCCTGGGTGTGGCATGTGTGTGTACTGTATGTCTGTGTGCATATGGGTGTATGAGCATGTGGGTACGTGTGGATGCGTGGATATGTGGATGTGTGGATGGATGGAGTGTAGTTAGTGTACATGTTCGAGGATGCATGGCCGGTGGTGACTCTCTGCAACGACAGTCGCAACGGCAGCCGCGCGGAGACTGCCGGGCGGCACCAATGTGAGAGGCAGTGAGTGCCAAGACAGGCTGCATGCCCGTGGCGCGCCTGTTGTGGCCGTCATGACCCCCCCAAGAACGAACAACCACCACGTCAAGCCAGCCACCACCACCAAAACAGCGGGGCCACTGCGCTAGACCTGACTTGGACGACGACTTGAGCCGAGACGGCCATGAGTCGGACCACAGCAGCGGGCTCAATTTACACCGATCTCCAAGCTTCCCATGCTCTCAATACCAAGTACCCTGGCAGTACGATAGGCGCGCTCCTTTGCCCCGGCCTCCATGGCCCATTCATCTCGTCTACTTACTATGTATTACCACCATACCCAGGCCACTAGTTCATCACAACCAAGCCCGCTCAACACCTACATGCCATCACCGTGACGAGCGCGCGAGCGTCACACTACGCATCCGTACTTACACCCGCACTGCTGCTTACTGACAACCACCTTCACGGACACCAAGGCGCGCTGCTGAGTCGACAGTACCATTACCGTGTTACATCATGTTCTACCGGCCCTAGTGCCATGCGGCTGCCGAAGAAGTCATCGGTCCCATGGCAGCTGAGACGGCCCAACTACGTATCTGACACTTCGCAACTGCTAGTCCCACGATAAGGCATCCAGCCGTTATTACAAATGAACGCCGAACCCCCACTCTTGTACCGACACTTTCAGTCCGTCCCCGCAAATGTCTTGCATAGCGTTGCTTTGCTGCCAGGAAAAATGCATCCGACTCAGACATTCATCGAGTTTTAGTTTTCCGCGCCAGCGTGTCTGCAGACCATCTCTTTACAGCTTGATACCAAGTACGTAAAGAGCTAGTATCCATCTGACAAAGCAATACCCCACTCATGATAGGCCCCATATGCACAAGAACATCACAACTCAATTTCCGTTTCCCCCCTCGTTATTCCACCTTTGAATAAGCAAGGAAAATAAAGACCAAGGACGAGCTAGACCCATGGCCAATCATTTAAACAATCAAGATATTATGAAAACCTACAGAATTTGATTGGATATCTAACTGTTACTTACCATGACTAGCAACCTACTGTTTCGTCTCTCCAGCTGCCTGCGCCGGCAAAGCTGCCAGCGCCCTCTTGAACGTATCCACCAACTTACTCGTCTCTTCCAATCCCACACTGAAACGAATAAGGTCTGCTTCCACGCCCCATTTGGCACACTATGGCAAATTTGTTAGCAGTACATCCGACATACTTCACGGAGATTCGGAACACCTACCCAATCCAACTCCCCATAATGTGCAAGAATCACATATGGCGAGCTAAGCGTAAAGTTTGTGCCCAGGCTAGGTCCCTTGACAGTGTCGAGGTTGTCGAAAAAAGCAATAGCGTCGGCTCTGGTGTGGAATGTTGCAGAGAGCAGACCGCCGTAGCCGCCAGTGGGATTCCGGCATCTATCGTAGTAGGGGCGCGAAGGCGATGTTTTGGGATAGTTTACTTGTTTGACTATGTTGCTTAACGTTAGAGCGACTTAGATGAAACACAGTCGAACAAGAAAAAACTTACCACGCGGATGCGAGCTCAGCACGTCACAAATTGCCTCTGCATTGGCATTGATACGGTCGATTCTCGAGACGAAATCTCGGCTGTTGCGCTCGAGAAAAATGCTATCTTCAGCCCAGTGGTTGTCTTCGTAGTCCTCTTCCCAAGTGCGTTTGAGGAGAGAATAGTTTTTCGCTTTTGGGTTGAGCACAAGGCTGTGACATGTCAGTTGATATTCGTTGCAAATAGGAGTTTGGCTGTACTAACCCTCCACCCATGACATTACAGTCCCCACTGAAGACTTTAGTCAAACTACTAACTACAACGTCTGCGAACTGCAACACATTGACATTGATGAAGTTTCCAATTGTCTCATCTACAACAACGCAGAAATCATACTTGTCGGCTAACTTGCGTATCCGCTCAAGATCAGGCGATGTCAAAAGAGGGTTTCCGGGAAACTCTGTGAACAGAGCTAGAAACCTCTCGCCGCCCTCCAATCGCCGTTCCAGATCATCCAATTCTTCCGAGGAGCCAAAGCCGTAGAATTGAGAGCCCGGGCCGAACTTTTCAGTAATCTTGAGTGTATCGATATAGGGAAATCCGTACACAATGGCTTTTCTGGAGCCTTTTGCCCTTAGTAGGTTTCGATGAGAGTTGAAGATTGCGCTCATTCCGGTCGGATACAGATAGACATCGTCTTCTGAAAAGTCTGCAACTGGTCTAGTCCTTGCAGCATCTTGATCCAGACTCATCGCCTCGGCCAGTTCGACATCTGCAGTAAGAGAACCCGCAATACGTCTTCGAACTGCCAGCTTGGCTTTCTTGGTCTTGGAGAGGTCCAGGTTGCGTCCAAATCTCTCTTCTACAAATCGAGTTGGATCTTGCACTTCTCCGTTGCCATTTGTGGAATCAGCCGAAAGAGCGAGGTCAACTGAAGTGTTCTTTTGGTACCGTCTGGGACCTTTGGGTGCCCGCAGTGGCTCGTTGAGCGTTGAAGCTTCTACTAAGGTACCTTCCCTGAATAACTGGGCGCAGAACTCTGCTCTCCGACTCGATACACCGTCACCAGAATGTTGCCAGAAAGCCTTTGCTGTGCTGAAGCGATCTTTCGGAAAGAGCACGGCAGATACTCTAGGAGATATGACGTCGAATTCTTTTGATCTTGCCTTCTCACCCGTTGGTAAGAAGTCGAGAATCCGGACTTGCGATGCATCTAGCTCAGGCACTTGTTGAAAAATGAACTCCTGGCATCTCGATGCGGTGGAATGTGTTGGAAACAACATAGCACTCTCATCCTCACGTCCATGTTTCTCGGCAATCGCTGCTGCAAATGCTTGTATGCTTTTGTGAATGAAGAATCTGGCTGGGGTCAGTTATATAATTGCTGTGTGTTTCGCCGCCACATACCTCGGATATCCTGTCTTCATCTTGCTGAGAACCCATTCTTCACCTTCCTCGTAACCTACATTTGCCCGCCATGTTGGCAGCGAAACACTCACTGCCTATCACGTGTTAGTCCAAAGAGCAGTGTTGGGTAACGAAAGGTACACGCACGTGTTCGGTTGCCGGCGGAAGACTCTCGCCGACTTCGACGTCGTTTTCGAGTAACATCGGCGACATTTTTGAGTGTGTCAAGAACAATGAGAGAGTTGTGTAAAACTCGACGACGGAAGGCAAATCGGATATGTATGGGGCAATGAGTCCAGTCACCCAAGAGATTATACCAAAAGCCGATTAGCTCCGACTTCGGCACTTGGAAAATAAGGTTATCGATAATGCAAACAGTCAGTTTCTCCGGGTCTCTGTCCGCCTTTCGGAGTGTCGGTGCATCTACTTTGTGCACCTCAACTGCTACGTAGTACATGCTCATTCTAGCCCCACCCTGGACTTGTGAGTGCTCACCAGGCGGTTTAGTCTAGCATAACCTGAACACACTCAGCACCACTAACACAGGCCGCACCACTTTCTATACACAGCCATGGATTCGCTCACACCCTCGGACCTCTTCTCGCCCTCAAAGGCGCGCCAACAACGCGCGCAAGCCCAGGACTGGGCGCAGATTGACTCGTGGCTGTCGTACAAGTATGCTGGGCGCACGGTGCCGACATTTGAGCGCAATGACGAAACACTCAAGGTGCTACGTGAGCTGTCAGTAGCCAACGAAAGGGCCGACGAGGAGAGAGCCGTCTTCGAACGAGTAGAGAGAGAGGCGCTCCGCGAGCTGGATGAGGTATGAGAGCTACAGGTCCGCTTCAGCTACCATGCTCTGAGCACGCTGCTCACAACGGTAGGTCCAAAGGAACGACGACGACGAGCGTATATTGTCTAGGCTGAGAGCTAGTCTCACGCCCGAGGGCGAGCAGGCACTTGATGCGTTGGCGTCAACAGCAGTCACTCTCAATACACCCACTGCGAACCCCGAGTCGATCGCGCACACTCTCATCTACAACACGACCACCTCACAGAATCTCACCAACCAGCTCGCACACATCGCAACGCTGCAAGGCTACGTCGACAAGCAACAATCTCTGCTTCGGACGCAACTGCACGAGCTCCAGACAAATCCTGCTTTCACAACCCCCGCGAATCTCCAGCGCCAGACCACCGAGCAAACACGTCAAGTCAAGCACCTTCGCACCAAGATACGAGAATACGAGGACAAGCTGTCGTCTTTCCAGTCATCACAGTCGCGCAGCATGACACCAGGCTACAAGAACATCGCGTCTGCAGAAGCTATAAATGACATGTTGGAGCAACAAAAAGCCCTGGATGGGCTTCGAGAGAAGGTAGAAAGAATAGAGAGGGAAGTCGCGGAGTTTGCTGGATTGCCTGCTGATAAAGAGGCTGCAAGGAAAGAGGTCGGCAAGTTAGAGGTCAAACTTGACGAGGTGCGAAAGCGAAGAGACGAACTATTTGAGGGATTGGTGGCACAGTAATGGTACAAATGGATTGATCATAGGGTGGCTCACACGCCCTGCATGTGCAGACTCAAGCTTCTGTCCGCTTGGATTTGTTGTTGAAACTTCCATTTTGACCAACTTACGCAGGCGCATCTGTCAAGGGCACGTACTGCACACCATATAACTTCTGGCGCTCGAGGCTTCCGTCCGCCCGCTTGTCAATTACCCAGATATGCTGCGCCCAGCCCTCTGCGACGGGCACGAACAAGCGCCCTGGTGCTTTGAGCTGGTCAGTCAGGACCTGATGGTGCTCGGCAGCCGCAGCGCCAACATGGATAGCGTCGTATGGTGCACCCTCGGCCCAACCTTTTCGCCCGTCTCCAGTAATAAACTTGACCTGTCCCGACTCCAACATCTTCCGGCCTTGGTCCGACTTGGACATGTTGGCTATCGCCAGATCGTTCAAGGGCTGAATGTGATCAATGCCAATTACCGTTCCATTGGGTGCGACAAGGTTGGCGAGGACTGCGGTTAGGTAGCCTGAGCCTGAGCCAACATCCAGGACCTTGGATCCAGGCTTGAGATAGTCGAGGAGCGATTCGCAAGCCGAGGCATGCATGTGCGGGGCAGAGATGGTCGCACGGTGGCCGATGGGCTGGGGCGAGTCTTCGTAGGGCGAGGATGGGGCATAATGTGCGCGATCGACCTATGCATATTCATCGATTGCCACCTTACCTGTGGTGTTGAGGCTTCCTACCTTTAACATTGCCTCCTTGACCCTGTCAGACTTGATGAGCTTGTTGCTCGCAAGATTGGTGACGAGAGCCTCATTAGTGTCACCAGAGCTTTGCCAGGCCATGCTGAAAGCTCTGCTTGGTTTTTGGTTACGCGTAGACCTGGTGAAGAAGAATGGACCGCAAGTGCGGCTAAGTTTTGTTAAGAAAGGCACTGTGGGTGGTGATACAAAGATGGAAAGCAGTGAAGAGTGTACGGCTAGGCAGGCAGATTCGCAAAGAATGAATAGTATTACATGAACGTATTAGAGTGCCGGGATGATCACTCAAGGAAACAAAACTGAAGTTTATATTGTGGCAAGCTGTTCCCCTCACCGAGTCTGAGTGAGGGGGTCATACATAAAGAGACGCGCATGAGCTGTCATGACCCTAGCACCCAAGCATAACATGCTACATCCCTGCTTATCGATAAGGCACTCCCGCGGGAAAAGTTCCAGAGAAATTTCGCGTCGCATGCGACAACCTCCACCACGCGAAAATGGCACCGCCCGCAATTAAACGAAGAAAGCTAGAGCACAGCGACTCGGAAGCAGAGAGCGAAGGAAGCTTTGCCGACTTTGACGAAACCAACAGCGGTGCGCATTCGAATGGAAGCGACGCTGAAGATGGGCACGACGAGAGCGACGACCTCTCCATGGACGGCGCGCAAGAGATGGAGGATGGCGACAATGACGACAATGAAGATAAAAATATGAGCGAAGACGAGGAAGAAAGCTCCGAAGCTGAGGAGAGCGTTCAGGAAACCAAGAAGCAGGCCACAACCGCCAAAGCCACGAGCGCACCCAAGCCACCCAAGCGGACAGCACCCAGTCTCCAGGACGGCGTCTACACTGCGGATTCCTTCAAGTCAAACATTTTCAAGCTTCAGGTAGACGAGTTGCTTGAGCAGGTCAAACTCAAGTACGGCAAGAAGGAGGCACCTGCTGAGAATGCAATGCGAACCCTCAAGACTATAATCGAGCAGATTCCTAGCCGCGGCCCACTTCCAGTAAGCCACGATCGTTATATGCATCATCAGCGAGTACTAACATGCTATAGATTGTCGAGGCCGAAAAGGCGCTCAAATCAGCTGGCGTCGCGATTCCGTTCCCCAGCCCTCGCCCACCGAAAGATGCTTTGTACAAACTGCAATACGAACAACCTGCGAGCGTAAACGCAACCGGTAGCTACCCCCTCAAAACTGCGACTCGAGCCGAAGAGAGATTTGCGATTGATCTTGTCGTGACCATGCCGAAGAGTCTGTTCCAAGACAAAGACTATCTGAACCACCGATACTTCTACAAGCGCTCATATTATTTGGCTTGTTTGGCGGCAGGAATCAAGGCCTCGAAAGAGCACAAGTTTGATTTGTTCTTTGACCGCTTGAATGGGAACCAGCTTCAGCCTGTTCTCGTCGTCCGACCGAGTGGCAACGGCGATGCGGACGACTTTTCTAGCTCAAAATGCCAGATCAACGTACTAGTAGCGCTTCCAGAACACACTTTTGCTCAGAATAAGCTTCTCCCAACCTCCAATTGTGTCCGACCCAAGGGTAGCGAAGACGAAACTTCCAGCAAAACGCTCGCGGCGACGCCTTTCTACAACAACAGCCTGCAATCTGACGCGAACATCACAGCATACCTCAAGCTCTTGCACGGCACGGCCTTAAAGGCTGAAGCTTTCAAGGATGCATGTATATTGGGACGCATTTGGCTGAAGCAACGCGGATTTGGCAGCCAGATTCGCAAAGGAGGGTTCGGAAACTTTGAGTGGGCTGCCATCATGGCTATTCTGCTTCAACCAAATGCTGGAACAGGTGCTCAGTCAGTCTCTTCAAGTTTCAGCAGCTATCAACTATTCAAGTCGACGCTGCAGTTTCTGTCGCGTGGAGATCTAACGAAGAAGCCATTCATCTTCCAAGCATCCAACATCACTATCCCCAAGGCAGAGACCGCCCCCGTCGTTTTTGACGGACCACGAGGACAGAATGTGTTGTTCAAGATGACCCCTTGGTCGTACAAGCGTCTGCAATCAGAAGCAAAGGCTACTATCGACATGTTGAGCGATTCCGTATTCGATCAGTTTGATGCAGCCTTCATTTTGAAGACTGAACTGCTCAAGTACCGCTACGATGCAACCCTCGAGATTCCCCTTGCCTCCCTCGGCCTCGAAGCTGGAAGCGAAGAATACGATTCGCAGCTTGGTGAGACTTGTCGAAAAATACACAGCACCCTGACCCGTGCGCTGACCGATCGTATCACTGTTATATCGTTCACTATGCCCGAGGAGGAAAGCTGGTCGGTATCCTCAAGGCGCCCTCAGGAAAAGCAAAGCAAAAGCATCCTTATCAACTTCGAAACAGATCCTGCCAACGTCACTCGTACCGTAGATCATGGACCTCCAGCAGAAAACAAACAGGAGGCTGCTGTCTTCCGTAAGTTCTGGGGCGAGAAAGCTGAGCTCAGACGCTTCAAAGACGGAAGTATTCTGGAGAGTGTTGTTTGGACGGTCAAGGACACAGCAGCATCTGTCATGGAGCAACTTGTTCTCTATATACTTGGCAGACACCATGGTACACAAGTATCTGAGCAAGCCAGGTTCACAATTGATGCATTCGGCCACCTTGTAACAGCAGGCCGTATGCAGGGACAGTCTGGGACCGCGCCATTTCTCCCCATTATGAACGCGTTTAGTGCCATGGAAAAAGACATTCGGGACTTGGAAGAGCTGCCACTTCAACTTCGCCATCTAAGAGCTGCCGATCCACAACTACGGTATGCGTCTGTTGACGTTCCCACTGTGGGCCATGCCCCAGCATCAGTCGTATTGCAATTTGAAGGCTCTGGACGCTGGCCGGATGACTTGTGCGCCATCCAGCGGACCAAGATTGCTTTCCTCCTCCGAATGGCTGAGCTCCTACATAGACTGGAGTCTGGCTATATTGCCCGTGTTGGCATGGAAAATCCCTCACAACCGGCTCAGAACCAGGCGTTCTTGGATGTAACAGTTGTTACGGGCTTCACATTCCGCATTCGCATCTACCATGACCGTGAGCCTACGCTATTCGAACGCCAAATTAAGGACAAATCATTAGACACCCAATCGCGCGAGTCTGCTGCCGCTTCTTTGGCACTATACAAGCGCGAATTCATTCAATCGCCTCAACATTCACAAGCACTACAAACACTCTGTACCAGATTCTTGGCACTTTCACCAGCGATACGATTGACAAAGAAATGGTTTGCGTCACATCTGCTCGCACCACACTTTTCGCCCGAGCTCATTGAGTTACTTGTTATACGGACGTTCCTACAGCCACAGCCATGGCCTGTACCATCTACGGCAACAACAGGTTTCCTACGAACATTATCGTGGATCAGTCGCTGGGACTGGCGCCATGTTCCTTTGATCGTGGATTTCTCAACATCCTTCTCTGCCAATCCTGCTAATCTTGAAGACACGTCTCTGAAAGGCATGAAATCAGAAGATCTGGACCGCTTACGAACTCGCTTCGAGGCATGGCGACGAATCGATCCTGCCATGAATCGTGTTGTACTTTTCGCAGCTACCAACCTTGATGAAGAAGGCACGACTTGGACAGACAAAGCAAAACCAGAAAAGGTTGTTGCTGCTCGTTTGACAGCTCTGGCCAAAGCAGCCACGCAGGCTGTTCGCGCAGACGAAGATGGCTTGTTGAAGCATATCAGCAACAACAAGGACGCGTCTAAAGCATACAATACTCTAAGCCCAGAGTCCCTCTTCGTTCCCAGCATATCAGAATTCGATATCGTTATTTCCATCTCCTCAAAACACAGCCTGAAATCATTCAAATCTCGCAAACCCGCCACCCAGTTCAAGAATCTCGATCTCCAAAAGTCATCGAGTCCCTTGCCCACACCAACTCCCCTCCCCCAGCTCTTCGCCGAAGAACTCTCAGAAGTCTATGGTGATGCAGTGCTGTGGTTCTGGGATCCAGAGAGTCTGGATAAGATTGTGGGACTGTGGAATCCGGTTGTTACGGGTCAGAGAAGTTGGAAGATCAAGGTTGGGTGGAACAGTGTGCCGATGGGGAAGAAGGACAAGGCTGAGATCAAGGTGAATAAAGAGGCAATTGTGCATGAGATTAAGAGGCTGGGTGGGGATCTCGTGAAGAGCGTTGACGCGAAGTTTTGAGCCTGGGGGGGATTGTAAATAGTATCGACGTTTGAATTTAACAAGTGCATTTTTTTTTCCAAACTACAATTCCAGATCTGAGCAATTTGATATGCTAACACTCTTATAGTGAAACTAAAGGTAATAGGAAACCCAGCATTCTTTCTACTCTCTCTACTCTTGTTGCACTTACGCAACCAGAAAGTGGCTCAAGCAGCTCAAGCGGATCTTGCACACTAGCCCCGAGTCCATACTTTCACCCTCATCTGCCTCTTCTAGCTACGTCCACCGATTCTGTAATTGGGCAAACACAAACGCATACCATTCTGAAAATTCAACCAAGTACTCGGACCCCCTGGTATGTGTGCGAGGCTGAGCAACTGCTGGTTCCCACTTGGATCTAGATCCTGGAGGATGAGGATCTGAGCTTCAGACCCAGGATGGAGCTTGATTTAAGGCTTTTATTGAAGGGTTTCTTTTTGGAGGGGGAGGGTGTGAGCTGGTCACTAAGCACGGATCGGAAAAACGTGGATGTGACGGAGTCAGAGTGTGTTGAGTTTTACTTCTCCCCCTTTCTTAACGCTCTTGTATGTACAAGCTGTAGGCTGTGTGTTTGCAAGACTGATGTGTTGGGTCAACAGACCTCGCGCACCTGCAATGGATGGCTGCGCCTTTGAGTAATCTACGTTGGTACAGCGTGGTATTGACAGCGGTCTGGATCTTCCCATGTCAGGCACGGAGTTGCTTGAATCTGAATGTGACTATTCCTTCTGACATTCCTGTGTTTGGAGTATTGCCAGTTGTGATTTTTATTCATGGTGGCTGCTTCATCATTTGTGAGCCCTACTAGCTACAATATGATCCTTGCCGGTTGGTTAAGATGTCTGTGGAAATGCATGTGCCTGTTGTCGTGGTCAATATCAATTTTCACCTGGGAATACTGGGTAACCTGACCAGCGAGGAGTTCATAAAAGCGGGATATCCTAGGAACAACAGCGTTAGAGACCAGCAGTGTGCGCTGAGATAGGTGAATAAATTCATTGGAGGATTTGGAGAGAGTGCTGCTGCTGGTGAGTCCGATTTTCGTTCGTTCGGTTCTCTACTGATTGAATGGCTTTGTGAGGGAGGGTATACTGACAAGAATTCAGTGTCGGTGTTGCATCAGCTGAGTGCTTCATCTGACTCGACGGCTACCTTGACAAGCATGTCAGCCGGATCTTCGACTGACACTAGCAGCTCCATCACCACTGTTTGTTCGGCATTCTAACTAGGACTTAATATAATGATCCTAGATAGCGTACAGAAGCCCCAGAAGTTCAAGGGAAAGCTACTCTTGCTCTTGCTACGGCTTGTCTCACACTACTCTAGTTTCTAGATTCAGGTGCAGTCGCCCTTTTTGGTCCGCATCGTGAAAGTTGACTAGTCTCCCACCACATCTTTCCCCAGCTATCCTCAAGTTCCTCAATCTCTTCCTCACTAGTATCGGTTGTGTCATGCTGCCTGTTTGCTATAAGGGTATCTGCATGCCTGATCGTGTACTGCTCCGGAGTCATTTTACTGATATCGACAGAACGCAAAGTATATGCTAATTCTCCATATGTCCGTCCCAACTGCCCGGGATAGCTTTGGTTCAGAGCCAAGCTCGTCATTGGCGTGTCGGCCTTCAAAACCGTTCTTTGTGGATCTGAATGATCTGGAGAGCAGTGTTCTTCGGAAGAGACACCACCGATATGGGCCATCCTGTGGTTAGAAGTCCAAGACATTGTATGTCCAAAGACAACCGCCCCGTTATTGTTCAGGGTCTCCGGCTTGCGAGGGCTCGGGAAGAGCATTGAGCCTTTGATTAATGCCTTGGGGAACAACGCTTGTACAGGATCATGGCCCTCCACACACAGCTTGTGAGGCTCTTCCATCTGTCCGCGGCTGAGGCACCTGCAGGGTGTGAAAGGATCTATTGGAGAATGCCATAGCAACCCTCGCACAATCTCAATATCTCCTCGCTCCGTCTTTCTGGTCTTGCTCATTATGACGTCCAAGTCATGTAGACTGGCTGCCAGGTGATACTCACCCTTTGGTAGCTGTGACCATTGGGAACAGATTCTCTCACACTTTGACGGTCTGATGATATTCCCGAATCCACGGCCAAATAGCGTAATGGCCTTCAAAGAGTGAACAAAATCAACCCAACCGTAGCCCACTGCTTTTAGGGTCGCAACACGTGGTTCAGGGTCGCTTTCACCAGCGAGGTCTTCGAAATTCCAACCTTCGAGATGTCTTCTGATCCGGAACTTGAGGTTGATACCATTTAGCCCCGCGAGTTGTTTGTGGCTTTCCATAAGAACTTCGAGAACGGACCATTTTTGTTCTACCAGGGTTTCAAAGGTGTACTTCGACTTATTTGTTTTGCGGGCCACGCTGGGCTGATTTTGTACTGGAAGTTTCTGTTCTGCTCCCGTCGCATTCTCACTTTTGCCGCACCAAACCTCAAGATACCTATTTCGTTCGTTTTTGAGGACTTTCCTTGCGGATGCAGCATCGTGTTCAGCTTCGTTCTGCATCATACTCTCATCAAACAAGAGCTCTTGAGAGTAGTCTTTCTTGTATACTTTGAGCGACATGCGAACCAAGTGGAGCAGAGCGCTTGTTCCGTTGACAAGCCAGCCTCTTTTGGTCTCCTCGTCCCATAAGACAACGTACTTCTTTTCGATTCACATAAGTTTTTGTTCGTATGCGTCGCGAGTGAAGTGAGGGGATATTCGCTTGACCCGTGGAGCGATCGTTGCTCCTGCTGTGAAGACCTTGCCAAGATTGAAAGTGAACTTCTCTAATAGAGCTCCCGCCCGGGGTGGTGGAAGGTCTGTACCCTTGATATCGTAATCGGCATCTTCAGCGCCTGATTTGACCTGTTAGTAATAATTCATTCAACGTCTCCTTCTACCATACTGACCAGCATAGTATGAGCTCTTCCTAGACCAGCCAACTACATGTCGGACGTCATTTATCTGATCAACGCTCATATTGCAAGCTTGTCCTAGCGGCACATCAAGGTACGATATCCTGTTGCCCTCTTCATCAAACGAGAAATGCCAGATCAGCAGGTCATCCAAACGTCTCACGCCGACTAGCATGGTGGAAAAGCCTTTCAGGAAGACCTTCCCTTGGATTCCCAGTACCTGAGGAGCGCCAACCATACCAGCCAGCAGGTCAAGTGACATTTCGAGTCCCAGTTTAGGTTCTGGCTTGCTGAGAATTGGAAATCCACCCACAAGGATTGGGCTAGCAAACATTTTATGCCAGCAGAGCCCTGAACCCTCGATTCCCGCCATGTATGGGGCTTTGACTTCGGAGTCAAATCTACAGAAAATCTTGCCTCGTTGTCTTTGCTCAGATACCTCGACTGGAGGCGGATCGTGCATCAAATAGCACTCTCGAATGAACGGAACACAAAGTGCTATGCCTGTTTCGATTGGTGGCGATTGAAGAGCCGCACCCAGCCAGGCAAGCTGTTGCCCGGCCTCGGCAAGTGATTCACTTGAGCCTACTACATTGACTATCAATTTGGCGTCTTCAATGCGCGCCTGAAATTGCGTCCCGTCTAGTAGACTAGCTGGAAAATCGGATAAGGATACGGGCATTTAGGAAGACCAAAGGTTCACTCACTAGTTGCAATATGTTCCGAATCCTGGCATACAATATCGGTGATTAGTTGCATGACATGCATCCCACTGTCTGGCCAGACTTGGCAAAGATACTCAAGGGCTGTCAAAGCTTGTGCGTCGTTCACAGTTCCAGTAAGCGTGATGGTGTCACCCAATACCTCTTCTGCGTCATCATGAGGCCGCTGATCCTTGAGATAGTGTGGAGGGTTCCAGAGTAACTCAAATGTTGCTTCGTACTCCTGTGACGGGGTTTTCCTACTAACTTTATCGCCATACGAAAGCAGTACCCCTCGGATTCGAGCCCCAATCTGTTCCATGAGGTCAGGACTCGCCCGCTTCAATATCGTTTCTCTTCTCAGTGTATCAACAAGCCATTTGTAAGCCCGAATTTGTAGTATAAAGTCAAATATCTTGCTTTGTTCTTGGCTCTCATCTTGCTGTTTCTCATCTTGTTCAGGACCCGCGGCTTCAGCATCGATCTGTTGTTCAGGAACATCTTCAAATTCCTCCGTGTCTTTCATGAACCTATCGATGGCGTCCCGGCCAAGTCCCTCGTCAAATTTCACAGGCTCTTCGGGCTGTAACACGTCGTCTATGAGGCATTGGAATGCCTGTTGCACGCTCCTGAGGTCAACGTAAGCATATGGTGAATGCGGCAAGAGTGGGCTGTGATGAACCTACACACGATCTCTTCGAACATAAAACATAACGTCACGGTGCATTGGTGATGAAGCTTGATACCCAACCTTCACAGCGAAGGCCCGAAGCAGATCCGGCAGCGACTGTGAGAGGTGGTCCAGAGCATCCCGGGTCAGGTCAGTGCAGTTGACTACTCCAAACAACTGCTCAGCAAGTTTGCCTGTATATCCCTTACCCCTTAGGGCAGGTGTCGTCAACGTTGCTGATGGCGCATAAACTGTTTTTGCTGAAGACAGCTCTGGCGGAGATATCTTTTGTTCCTCATTTGGCTCATTCAATGCCGAGTCCTGTGTTGCGTGATTCATGGCATCAGTAACGATCTCAGAGTCTTTACCGGTTGAGCTCCATATCATGTCAGAGAAGTCATAGGTTTGGGAGACTGTGATAGGTAGGGTGGAGGCTTGCGCGAAAGAATGCTTGAGCGATGGAGGCTGCAAGTCTCCTTCTGTAACGTCGTCAAGGAGACCTTCGGCCTTCACTGCTTCCTCCACCATGCGCGACATGGCTACCTCCGCCGGCGATATTACTGATAGTATCTCCTTCGTATACGCTGCCGCCGTCCCAGCCGCGTATGCCTGCCACTGCTTGTTCTTGTGCGAGTCCGCGTAGTCGCATATACCGCGGATGACAAGGCAAGGGAAGCTTCTTGATAGTCCTGCTGCCTCCATCTCGAAGCAGAGAACACCACCAAGCTCTGCGCTAGCCCTGTCTCGCTCCGCCGCATTCTTTATGATCTGGTTTCCCGATGCGATTGTCCCATAGTGAACCACTATCCCTTCTTCGCTGTGACGTGGCGGCCTTGCTTCTTGTCTGTCCATGCTGCACATATCGCACGTTTTCCCGCCTTCGTGATCATATGTGGCTTCAAAGAGCACATCAGGCCCCGTTTTCATATACCGGAACTGGGGAAGACGCTCAAGTTTAGCAATATGTTCAAAGACCTTGCTTCTACCACGTAGCATCATCGTCCGCGCCCTAACAACTGCTCTGAGCAGCACCTGCGGCGGTGCATTAAGCGACCCTGTCCGTACGAATCCGCTTGCTGTAGTCTTACCAGCGTCATACTGCACTACTCCGCCGCACGTCTTGTCTGGCTGGCTAACTACTACATCCCCAAGTCTGATATCTGCATCTGCGTTAGGCACTCCTCCGCCGATACCAACCATTAGCCCAAATCGAATTCTCTTAAATGTGACCATCATCTGCGTCGCCATAACTGCCGCAGAGCTGTTACCAATATGTTCTGCCGGTAGGCACATGATCGCGATATTGTGTCCCGCAATAGACCCCAGCAAGTACAGGTTCTTATCATCATTGGATTCATGCTCTAGATCCTGGTGCACTTCGTCCAGCATCTCGTGTGCCGCTGCAAGCTCGATGGGCAGCATGCACAACCATGCCACCGTGTAGTCTTCAGGACGTAGCAGGCGCGCCATCTGCGGTTGTTACGAAAGGAGGCTACCGGAAATGATGTTGTTAGGAAGGTCAGAGACAGTTGTGTACAAGTGATGAGATGGGAGCCTAGCAACCCCTCAGTCCCATAGCCTTGCGACGTGCCCACTGCTTGGCTGCATGTTGTCAGTGAGGCGCAGGCAGGCTGAACTGAGCCGTCGATGCTACCACTGGTTGAGCGCCGGGCTGCCGCTGCAGACGCACGGAAACGACTGAGGTCGAACTCAGAATCAAACAGTTCAGACCAGAGAAGGCATATAATGTCACTGGTAGTAGAGGTAAGCTGTTTATAGCGAATAGGAGAGGAGAAGCTGTAATTAAAGCTATCCTTAGTAAATAGACGTAGATCTAGCTTAAGCCTTACATTTAACAGAGAGTATTAAGGCTTAACTTAAGATGACAGTTTTAGACTTTCAGTAGATGCCAATGTCGGGACTAGATAAGTTAAAGAAGTTGTGGCGTTTACCATTAGAGTACCTCATATTGGCGGCTGCAAATGCTCTTAAGTGGTCCATCTAGCACCTCGAGGCGCTCGAGTGAAGTCTGATTAGAGTTTGCGGGGCTTGTGCGCCTCGGACTGATGGGTCCCCAAGTCTATGCTGCGTATTTGTATTGTACACGACTTTGCCGGGTCAGCTACTAGTAGTTAAGGAACGCAGACGTGCGGAACAGAAAAACGAGTTCACGCCTCTCGGCTACACGACGGAAAGTATGCATGGCCACACAAGCATGCAGAGCCTAAGCACAATTCGTCTACGTCGATCGCCTACTTGAATGTACCCTTGATGCTGTAATTAAGATGGCAATGGAAGATTATCACCCTTGTAGGGTGACGGGTTGTTGCGTGTGATCATGTGATTTGGTACGCAGTACTATGCATTATACATCCACCCCTGCAACTTACTGGCACACATGTGTAAGGGTTCCTGTCGCGTAGACCGTGCGGTGAGAACAAAGCTGATACGGAAACCGGAAACTGATTGTGACCGCTACTATACTGCGTGGAATGCTTTGCGAGGTGTCCCACACAATTACGTCCGACCACTTTCACCCCACACGTCTCAAGTAGTTCAGTGAGGGGTATCTCAAACTACCCCACGACAATTCCAGCAAGTCGCATGTGGGGTCACTCCATCACCATATCCGCGCCCAGAAACGACAGCGACTCGCACAACCGGAGAACTTATGGGCCCGGCAAAGATGCGACGTCGGATGTGGGCCTTTGACGGAACGTCTCTGTATCCATTGTTGCAGCGGCACTTGTTACCCCACAAATCCCATTTCCTACTCCCAGGACTCACTGGAAACAGAATTAGTACACAGTCTTCTCTTGCGTGAACATTTCGTCTCTCGCGTTGCCGTTTCTCGAATCCAAAACACAGACTCTGTTGAGTCAATAACTTTGTGCATATTGTATCTTCAGATCCACGAGCAACACCAGGCCAAATCCCCCATTCGACCCGTCCCCAAAAGCAACAATGTCCAAACCCGTAGCCATCGTGACAGGCGCCGGCTCAGGCATCGGAGAAGCAACAGCAACCCACCTGCACTCCTTAGGCTACAAAGTCGTCATCGCCGACCTAAATCCTACCTCAGGCCAACGCGTCGCCTCGGCCCTAGGCAAAGATGCCCTCTTCCACCAAACGGATGTATCATCCTACAAATCGCAAGCGCAGCTCTTCAAACGCGCGTATGAATGGGGCGGCAACCGCCTCGATTTCTGCCATGCCAATGCTGGAATCGACGATCGACAGAATATTCATGAAAGCATGGACAAGGAAGAGGTGGATGAGGAGGGACTGGTTAAGAGGTTGAATACAAAGACTATAGATGTGAATCTCGAGGCTGTGATACAGGGCCTTTGGCTGTTCAAGTATTATGTGAGGAGGAGTAAGGAGGCGGGTGGGGGGAAAGGATATTTTGTTGCCACGAGTAGTGCGGCGGGGTTGTAGTAAGCATTTATTCTTTCTGTTTCGCAAATTTTTGTTCAAGGGCAAAGAACGGACGATACGTAGTCATAGAGCTGGGCTAACGAGAAGAAACATAGCTTCATGCCACAATGCCCCCAGTACACAGCCAGCAAATACGGCGTCGTAGGCTTCGTCCGGGCTTCTGCCCCAAACTTCATCAACGAAAATATCACCGTCAATGCCATTTGTCCGGCCTTCATCCCGACAAACCTCTGTCCCCCAGAAGTAGCGGCGCGCTGGCCAAAAGAGCACATTACCCCGTTGTCGACTGTGCTCAAGGCTATTGACGCTTTTTTGAAGGACGATAAGTTGACGGGCCAGGCGGTAGAGTTATCCCAAGAAAACATCTATTTCAGACAGCCTGTTGATTATGTGAATGAAAGTCAGCGGTGGGTTGGCCTCGAAAGCGACAAGATCTGGAATGAAGGGTACAAGGAGCCACCAAAGAGGAATGGGTATTAAAATAACGTCATGATTTCGTTAATAGATATGGAAAATGATATTATGGAAACCACTCTTCGTAATCCAAAAGTAAGAAAAGAAAATCAATTCTTCTCGAATTTAAAAATCCAACCCTTTTTCTTCTGCCATCCTGCTTTCCTCCCGCATGATACTGGTATGCTTCTCGCTTCGGGGCCGAATATCGCATTTGAACGGCTGAGGCACGCTGAAGAAGCCTGGCTCCATATTCGCATTGACGGGAACTTGACTGCCGTCTTTGCCTTTTTTCGGCGATAGATTAAAACCCCAGAGGACGCGGGATACATTAATGAAGAGAGAGCGTTCAGCAACGTGAACACCAGGGCACGCGCGTCTGCCCGCTCCATAAGAGAAGTGGTCGCGTTCAGAGGGGTCGGCGGTGTTCATGTAGTGTGCTGCGGACGCGGTGTGGTTGAGGTAGCGAGAAGGATCGAAAGCGCTTGGGTTAGACCATAGATCGGGATTGTAGTGTATAGCCCTGTTTGAAACAGTTGCAATCAGTTTCCGTAGTAGTAACACAAGAAGGAGAGACAACTCAAATGTACTTGGAAAGGGGAAAAATGAACTTACCACCAGTTCAACACGACAACACTTCCCTTCGGGATAAACATGCCTTCATACCAGTCATCCTCACTAGTTGCATGCGGCATCCCAAACTTATTCACAGGCCTCCATCTCATCACCTCCTTTATCACGCTCCGTACATATGGTAGATTGGCTTCGTCTTCCCACTGCGGCAGCCTCTCACTACCAACCACGCGATCTAGCTCCTCCTGCGCGCGCCTCTGCACCTCAGGGAACAACACCATACAAAGCATAAAGTTATTCAGCGTCGTCCCCGTGGTTTCGGAGCCTGCTTCGATAAGGCCGCCGCAAGTATACGCCGCAGCGAGATCATCGATACCCGCTTTGGCGGGATCATTAAGGTAGAAAGTCTTTGTGAAGCAGTCCTTTGCTATGCCGGCGTCGGTCTCCTTCTTGAGCCTGTTCCACAGGTCAACATAGACAGCGCTATCTTGTTCGAAGACGCGCTGGCCGTAGGATCGCCAGTTTCCCATGAGCGCCTGCGGGACCCATGTCAGGGACGGGAAAGACTCGATGGCCCATGCGCCGGGCGAAGTCATCTCGGTGAAGCGGTCGAGTACGCTGTAGATGCGCTTGATGAGGGGATCGTCCCAGCTGGGGATCCGGTACCCGTATGTTACGCGCATGATGACGCTGGCCGAGTAGCGGCGGTTGATATCCATGAAATCGTTGGGGTTTTGCAGTAGTTCTTTAAGTAGAACTTTGCTTTCAAAGTCTTGTATTACCTGGTAGTTTGTGCTGGTGGATAGGTTGAGTAGGGCGTGGCTGTGCTTGCGGACACTGCGCCAGCGCGGGCCGTAGGGCATGAAGAGTTGACGGCGGCCTGCGGATGCGACATCCTGGGCTAGAGGGGAGGGAGGGCGCGACGAGTAGATGCCGGATTTTCGGTCCATGAGGTCTTTGACTGCTTTGGGTGACGATAACCAGATGTAATCTGTGCCTCCAATTTTGGTGTAGTAGATGTCGCCATACTGCGCGCGCCATGCATTGACTGTGTGGCGTATGGCATCGTTGTCTGCGAGATCGAGGAGGGATCCGATAAAGGGGAGACCTTTGGGTCCTGGAGGGAGATGGCGGCGTCGTGGGTCCTATTGTTCTCGCTGCTTAAGTTTTCGTAGTCAAGTATGTGACGTGAGGGTGTTTGTACCTTGATGGAATTTGGGACGATAATGAAGTATATAGCTAAAAGGACGAGGATGGGTACAGCAATGACCAAGGTGACTTTCAGATATAAGGGACTTGCCCAAACACTTCCAAAAACACCCAAAATCGCCATGACAGAAGATAGTATTAATGATTTTGACTATTTCAAACCGAAAGAATGACTTGTTTATTCAACGCCAAACACAGTCTATTCATATTCTTTTCTCGGTCATTCGGCTTCACCGGAGCCACTTGTTGCCCCTCTGAGTGAATCGCGATGTTGCATCGATCCGCGCGTGGGGTAGATGTGCATGATTCCCATTCCCCTGGATTTTCCCCGCATTGCCCCAGCCCCACAAAGTCGCGGCAGGGACGCAGGGTTCCTCTAATCTGACCCATTGTGTATACTATACGACAATTATGCAATTGCACGAGCGGTTGCTTATGAAATTCTCTGAACAGATTTATTCAAAAGTCCTTGTGGGCTTTCCCATATGGTTCGTTTAGATATCCAGTGAAACACTGATTCAACAACATCAAACTACCTGTTCTCCCTACCTAACGATCCTGGCTCCAACTCCGTGTTGATAAAATATCAACAACATCAGCAACAACAAAAAATGACACTTGAGCACTCCTCCTCATGCCGGACATACATCCTCCATGCCAACGGCCAAAAGTCCCACTACGTCCTCAATGACTTCACTGACCCCTGGAAGCCCCACGAAACAATTCTTATCCAACATGGATTCGGCCGCCACTCAGCATTCTGGTACCACTGGATCCCAGCGCTATCCCGCCACTACCGCGTTGTAAGACGAGATCTGCGAGGACACGGGTACTCTAGTTATCCCGGGCAAAAACAAACCGTCTCATCAACTGAAAACGGAATTGTTGAGAATGATAAAAAAGAAGAAAAGGACTACGTATATAATGTCGACACAATCATCGGGGAGATAATAGATACGTTAGATCAACTTGGATTGCAAAAAGTGCATTTTCTGGGAGAATCAACGTCGGGAATATTGGGTGAGATACTTGCTGCAAGGCATCCAGAGCGGTTGCTCAGTTTGACTGTATGCTCGTCGCCCACGCATTTGCCGCCGCCTGCGCTGCAGATGTTTGCTTTCGGCCACAAAGATTGGCCTACTGCGTGTCGACAGCTAGGGGCGCGCGGGTGGACTGAAGCGCTGGCGCGGGTACCGGGCACGATTCCCATTTCAGATAGTGAGTATTTGCCATGGTATCTGGGGCAAGTGGAGGTTAGCGATGGTGAAGGGTTGGCGCAGTATGCGGAGTTTTTGTCTACGCTGGATGCGAGGCCGTGGTTAGAGAGGATTAAGGTATCGACACTGATATTGAGTCCGACACACAGTGCGGCTATCAAGGTTGAGGATATGAAGGCTCTCAGAGACACGATTCCGGGAAGTCAGTTGGTACCGATATCTGAACCTGGGCATGAGATTTATGTGACAGCAGCGGAAGAGTGTCAGCAAGCGTTTCTGGGCTTCTTGGAAGGGTTGAAGAAGAAGAATCACATTGCTAAGCTAAGTTAACATGGTTTTTGATTACTAATTGACTATCTCATAATACAATAAGCACGTCCAAGACAAGCTAAAGAAGAACTTTTCCAGTCCTTTCATAATCAAAGTCGCCCACCTTTGCAATCAACGCCGATTATGCAACCGTGAGTGGGTTTTTTTCGCCATCCCCAATGCGCCGCCATAAGAAAGAAAAAAAAATATGATACACAATGCAGACAAATAATTACACGAGCCATGAAAGAATATAGACAATGTCACATCTTGAGGCTCAAGCATGTCGGGATTCTTGTTCTCGTCGTTCATTCATGTCGAGGGCGATCTTCTTGCTGAACTCGTAGCAACTGATCATGATGGCACAGGCCGGGGCGATTTTCAGACAACGAGCAGCCCAGCCCTTGAACAGGCCAGGCATGCCTTGTTCGCGATAGATGTGCATCAGGAAGCGTGGTATTGACTTGTCCTCTGGGCGTGCTCTGGCGGCATCGCGCACGCTGTCTCCCATATGGCGCACGACTTGCTGCCGTGTCTTTCCAACGTCAAAGGGCGTTGTGACAAAGGCGGCAACTGCTCCTGAGGTAGCACCTGCGACAAAGCTATCCACCAGGGTATCGCGGTGATTTTCCTGGCTTCTTGATCGGCTTCTTCTTCGTACTCTTTCTTCGCCTCGGCCCATGCGGAACTCGAACCCGTCGTCTCTTGCAGCTCTCCTTCCTCTTTGGTCTGTTAAAGTATTCCTTGTAGTCTCATAGCCCCACCAATAAATGGCAGAAAAGGGCACGTCGCGCCAAAGGGTCAAAGTGAGTCCTCTCCAGAGGCTGAAGACACCTTGGCTGGCGACCATGTTCCTGAGGCCGTCCAATGTCTCACGGAAGTGTCCAGCAGCGGTTGCCGGATGGTTTGCGGCCTGCATTCTTGTTCGAAACATTTCAATGGGACTGACGGCGATGGCGGCCAGGACGCGGGCAGTGGCTCCAGCGACGAGGGGTATATAGGGATCGGCTATGTTCTGGCGCAATGGTGATGCACTGGCTGTGCGTAGCCAATCGTATCCGGCAAAGTAGATGACGTTTGCTGGAACAGTCATGACCAGAGTCGGAGACAGTCCCCGCCAGAGTGTGCGGGGCCCCTCGTTCTGCGCAATCTTGCGCAGGCCGTCCCATGTGCTGTTGATGGTTCTCCGTTCCACCTCTTCTACGGCGCAGTGTAAATCAGCGGGGTTGATGGGTGCCATTGTAGGTCCGGCTACACAGAAGGGTGCTTTGTTGTTGACCCAAAAGACTTCTCGACAACATGCCGATATGCCGAGGTTGGGAGGTAGATCGCGAAACTGTGTTAGTGATGGGCCAGTGGCTCCGCTGGGTCGTGAGAAGGCAGCGCTTGGGGCGGCCTCTTGTGATTGTAATCGCACGCGGACGACATCGAGGGGTGTTACTAGCAGGGTTAGAGGGAATGCTTGCGAGAGGAGTACCCGAATGTGCAGGCGGGCAAAGAGGACATACCTAGCAACGAAGTGAGCAGACTGCCGGAGACAGCAGACAGCATCTTCTGGCCCAGCGAGACTTCAGTGGCCGGGTTGGCGTCGGCCTCGTGGGCTCGCGCTGTGGCCGCAGCCATTGTGGTGGTGGTGGTAGTGGTGAAGGTGGCGGGTTGATGTTGAGTATGGAAATTGATAAGCAAGTAGTTATTGACCGAATGGAAAGGTAGGCGAGTGGCGGAGTGCGTGCTTGTCCCGGCAGAGGGGACGTGTTAGCCGGAAGCCGCACAGTTGGAGGATTGGAGATGCCAGGAGCAGGCGAGGGGCGTGGAGGGCATCGTCTCGTGCAGTGATGGCGGCCTACGAGTGGTGACGATGGCGAGGGGACGCTTTGACGCAACAAAAGTGAATTATCGGACCTGCAGGCTTTTGGCGCGTCATGGCCGAGCCCCGCGCTCGCCCGCTCATTGGTCCGCAGGCCGAACTGGCGCAGGAGACAGGCCGAAAGGGCGTGGAGCTTATCAGATGCAGATGGCCGGCCTACCATGGTACACACTAACCATCGGGTGGCGCCCGTCAGTGTATCGTCGACGTCTACGAACGCCCTTTGCCCATCAAACGCCCTTGCACGGCTGTGTGCCCGGACTACTTCATTTGATCCGTGCCGTGCTTGAAATACAGGTTCTTGGTACCCTCGTGCTGCTAGGTTCCTCACATACTACACACTACATTTGTATGTACTCAACCCCTTGCGTACATCCTGTACTGCCATTGTACACACCCGCCCGCCGTATCCACCGTAACTGCAAGTCCCGTGACCACGTGCGACTTCGGATATCCCGTATCTAACCGCTACCCACCACGCCCCGGCGGCCAACAAAGTACACCATGGATCCTAACAACGTACCCACAAACACCGAGGCCGAGTTAGAGTCCTTCCGTCGGAAATGGAGAGAAGAGGTCACCGCCCGCTCAAAGGCCCAGGCGCCTGCTGCATCATCGAGCAAGCCCCGTCCAACCAAGGCCAACCCAACACAGGCTCAGTCTCACGCCCACTCACACGCTCGTAAATTAAGTCTAGAGGGCGGCGACGAGGTTCAATCTTACATATACCACAATCTCGACGACAAGCAGCATGGCCGGAGACTGGATGAAACACCCGCTCAGACCGCTGCCGCTCTTGCAAAAGGCAAAGAACCTACCTCTGCCCTGGAGCATTATGAGAAGGCTGTAGAAAAGGAGAGCCAGGGCAATCTGGGGGAAAGTGTAGACTTGTATAGAAAGGCTTTCAAGGTGGGTTGCATTTTTATTGTTGTGTTTCAACTTCTCAGCTGACTCTCTGCAGCTCGACTCTAGAGTACAGGATGTATACAAAGCAAAACATTATCCGCCATCCTACTTCAAGAAACTTCAAGTACAACATATACCTGCTGCTTCATCTTCATCGACAGCCCCAGCACCGGCACCGGTGTCGAAACCACAGGACCCAAATCCCTCCAATGCCTCGGTCACGGTACCAAACACCGCCCACCACTCCCTTCATGGCCTTTCCTCTTCTTTGCAGACCTTAATCAGCGGATACTCGCAAACCTCTATTCTTGGCGAGCCTCCGCCAACAGATCTCAGCCCCACACCACTATGTCCCATCGCCAGAATTCCCGAGGAAATAGTCGTCGAGATTCTCGAGCAGCTCGCCGTGCAGGATCTCGCCTCATTTGTCCGCCTATCCCAAGTATGCAAACGCCTCACCTACTTGGTACTGACCGAAGACCGAGTCTGGAAACGTCTAGCCCTGGGTGATGAGTACGGCTTTGGGGGCATGCACTACACCTATACCTGTGGCATTGACGGCAAACCGCTCGAAGACGAAGAGGGCATCATCCTGGGCACCTCCAACCTCAATCTCTCAGACTCAGACGATACGGAACAGTTCACTCCAGACCCAGACCCTTCTCCCGCAGCACTAACCCAGCTCCTGGTTCCCTCACCATACCCCAGCTACCGCACGCTGTTCCGCCAGCGACCCCGCATCCGTTTCAACGGGTGCTACATCAGTACAGTCAACTACGCGCGCCCCGGCCAGGCCCAACCGACAACCTCAACCTGGAACTCGCCCATCCACATTGTCACCTACTTCCGCTACCTACGTTTCCTCCGCGATGGAACCTGCATCTCGCTGCTGACCACCTCGGAACCTCCAGACGTAGTACCCTATCTGTACATTGAGCACCTGCACAAAAACCATCATAATCTCCCCACCGCCCCCATGAAAGACGCCGTCCTTGGCCGTTGGCGCCTCAGTGGCCCGGAAATCCCCTTGACGCCCGGCGAAGAGGCTCTGGACGTGGAGACTGAAAAGGAAGGAACTTTGCATATTGAGACGCCTGGCGCAACACCCAAATACATATATAGAATGGCCCTCACCGTCGGCAGTGCCGGCAAGAACGCAAAGATCAACAGACTTGTCTGGCAGGGTTACTGGAGCTACAACCGCTTGACGGACGATTGGGCCGAGTTTGGCTTGAAGAACGATCGCGCCTATTATTTCAGTAGAGTCAAGAGCTATGGCATGAGCTGGGATGAAAGAGGTATCAAGCCCTATTAGTACACACACTGACTGCCTCTTATTGCACGGCACTGCATTGCATAGAATAGACAAAGAGCATAAGAACACCAGCGGGCATCTCTTGCTAGGATAAGCTCTTGGATGGATTTCATCATGTAGATTTTGTCATCTTGTCGTCGTCGTCGTCTTTGGGCATTATTCATAGACAGCCGGGCTTCACAAATCGCACACCTTTCAGCATTCCTCTATCATGGTATACATTGTCTCTCTGTCCCCTTCAACCATTTACCGTCGGGGCATGCCACGGCCACGGCCTCGACCACCCCCACCGAGTGCCCTTTGTGCCGCACCGGGCGGAAGTGGCTTGTTGGGTGCTTGTGGTTGCTGTGATTCTTGGTTCTCTGTACACAAGTTAGTGTCCACTTCTTCATCACTCAATTCTCCAATATCTTACTAATTGTCTCGTCAACGCTCAGAATCAAACAGGCTGCTTCCGTCGCTGCCTGCAGAGCGTTGATCTTGACCAGGCTCGGCTCCCACACAAACCTTTCCATGTTGTTCGCTATGCTCTCAGTAGTAAAGTCGACACCGGCCCAGATGTTGCCCTTCTTGTGCTCCACACGTAGTCGGTTGAGAATATCCGTCGCATCCACGCCGGCATTGTCGCACAGTTGTCGGGGAATAACCTCCAGAGCCTTTGCGAATGCCTTGATAATCGGTTGCTGCTTGTGGGGAATGTTGCTGTCGGCATAGTTGTGGAGGTAGGAAGAAATCTCCATCTCGACTGCGCCTCCTCCAGCAACAATGTTGCGGTTCTTGATCGCACGCTTGACAATCATGATGGCGTCGTGCAAACTTCGCTCCACCTCGGCGATGAACTGTTCTGCGCCACCACGGAGCACCAGTGTGCAAGTCTTGGCCTCAGGGCAGCCTTCAAAGAAGTTGAAGCGCTCGCCACCAATCTGTCGCTCTTCAAACAGCTCGCAGCTTCCGAGGTGCTTGCTCTGGATGTCGGAGCAGGTCGACTGGACGCTGGCGCCTGTTGCTCGGCATACGCGGTCAAGGTCGTCAGCCGATACTCGTCCAGCACAGAAGATGTCGCGGTCCGCAAAGTACTGTGTTGCCAAATCGCCAATGGGCAGCTTGCTCAGAACCACCTTGGCGCCTGTCTTGTAAAGTGCCTCCATCTTGTTGTAGATAATTTGCCATTCCGCATCCACAATTGCCTGGTATTCCGAGACCTGTTCCACCCGTACCTCTGCATTGTCCTTTTCGCTCTTCAGCTCGAGTTCGACGTTCAGGCATACGATCTTGGGTTGCGTGAATTTCTTCGGTTGCTGCTCGAAACCGGCGTACGAGAAGGTCTTCTTGAATGCGACACCGTTGACAAAGAGGGAGTCCTGGAGAGCACCACCAGTAATCTTCTTGATTCCAATGAGCTTCTCGTTTAGCTCCTCCTGGTCGAGCGAGAGCACGGCATCCACAACCATCTTTGTGAAGAAGTCTGCGTTCCTGTGGATGAGCTTGCTGCTCATGGCGGTAGCAGCAAGCTTCTGGAGTGTATCCCGTTGGTTGCCCTCGGCTGTGTCCACGGCGATCTCCATGATTTTGTTGACAGCGAGATGTGACGCTCTCCGCAGGCCCTTCATGATGATCTGGCTGCTGACTCCCTGCTCAACAAAGTCCTTGATCTCCTTCAGAATCTCTCCTGCCAACACAACAACTGATGTGGTACCATCGCCAACTTCGGCGTCTTGCGATCGTGCGATGTCGGTGAGGATGCGGGCAGCGGGGTGAACGATGTCGAGGAGCTGTATACTGTTAGGCCAGGCTCTAGCAATGGGCTTACATTGCTTGTCTACCTTCATGACTGTGGCACCATCGTTGGTGATTGTTTGCCGGCCATTCTCGTCAACCATGAGCAGGTCACCACCATAGGGACCCAACGTGCCCTTGATTGTTGCCTGTACAGCAAGACAAGCATTGATGTTTGAAATGACCTGCCCCCGACCCTGCGATTGATCGGTGCCTGCAATTGTTAGCGACACATGTATGAAAAGTTCACAAGCACCCACCCTCCCGCAGCACCACAATAGTGGGTGTCTGGCCGCCAAAAGACATGTTGACGGAAGCGAAAAACACAAAAACTCAAAGGGGAGTCGTCGAAGGCTTTGCAAGGGGAACAAAGCTGGCGGTATGGTGTGAGGGGTACGGTCAAGCTATGCGCACCTGTATCTTGTTCCCCGCAGACGCGTCCCATGAATTTTCCCAGGGCACGTCTCTTTTTGCCAAGACAGCCGGACCGTGCGTGGCCTGGCTTCCACTGCCTACCTCCAGCCTTCTACTGCCCTTCCATGCATTGTACCACAATTACGCCGTCACCTGTCTCCAAGGCCCCCGCTACCGTGTTGCGTCGTCGTTACAGTGTACGCACTCTTGCTGCCCTGATCCATAGTGACATTCTCAACGGCCCCTCGTGACCTCGTGACCGCTATTTCGATTGATGAGTGCGATCTGAACTGCCTTTGTCTCCCCTGCTCCTGGGAGCATTGTTTGTGAGCATCAGTAATACCAACATGCCATCCAAGACATTTGCCAAAAAGGTCTGGTCATGTTGTAGATGCACTTTTTAGTCGTACTAACGCGGTGTACAGATGGCGCCTACACCGACATCCACAGACGATATCCGCCTACGGCGCATGGAACGTCCTTCAAAAGAGTCTGTAGAAAAGCAATTATCCATACCAGAGACCATTTCGCCTTTGGACAACTACCCTCCATTGCTTCGCATTCCATCCGAAATTCGGAGAGAGATTTTCAGATATGTCTTGCCATCGTCAAACAAACGTTTCATCTTATACACCGATTGCGACTCGAGGTCCATCAGCCGGAAATGGAATAAGATCTGCCGTCCCCATCCCGACCCACACCTGACTCTCGACATCTTACGAACAAACCGACTTATCTACCACGAATGCCTCTCAGTACTCTATTCCGAGAACCAATTCCATTTTTATGCATTCAACTATCTGCCTGTTTTGGACTTTATACGCCATCTGAGTCCCGAGGCAAAGAACCAGGTGCGCAACGTGCGACTCACACCTTTGACGGATAAGCAAGATGACCCACCAGCATCACACGACGTCTTCTGTACTGTCATACACGATTCATTACCCGGGCTCAGCCAACTTCAAGCCGATCCGGTGGTTTTCTTCTAGGAGATTGGCTTCTGTTCGTTCTTCAGGCCACACTTCTTCTTCTCTTCTTTTATCCGAGTATATAGACGGGCAGATGCGCATCAGTGTTGGATACACATGCAGCGCATCTACGAACTTGCCCACGAATTGATCTTCACATGGCGATCATCTTCGCCTTCGCAAATGTGTGCGTCATTTACCACATCTCATGTCCAATGGCCTCGAATTTTCCGATGTTCAATGGCTGCATATTAGGAAACATGGCTTATGATTTGTAATGGTGCAGCTATGAAGGTATTTTGGCATAACAGCTAGTAACATTTTGTTTTAGTCATCGCTTTCATGACGCTGTGGCAGGCAATTCGGTTCGTTGAATACCTGTAGTAGCGGGCTGATAGCAAAGTACTTGCGCCACTATCAACCCTATCTTCTGATTCACATTCATCATCAACCAACCTCAGGAGTTATGTGACGATCCGATTGAGGTACCAAGTTCTAATATCCTGTAGCTACGCATGCCGCATGCGTCTCAACTTTGGAGCCTTTATTATTGATTCAGAACAATCGGTGTTCGACACCGCTTCGGAGTACTCGACCTGCATATCTTATTCCGACGCCAGTCCCAGACCGTGAGCACGTATTGGCTTTCCATGCTGACATACCGGTTACATCAACGTCACCCCGCTTCTTGAGTACGGGAACAAATTACTCTTTTGGTGCTAAGCTCAGCCAGTGCACTGGCTATCTTGCAGAGAGCATGATTGCAAGTTCCGACAAAGCTCACTGGAGGAACTTACTCAATGCAACAATATTGGGAAGATTTGTAATATGCTAGTTGATAATATTTAGAGAACTCTTCTTCCCGATGAAAGCTTTTCATATCACAACTTCGAAAACACTAGACGAACTCGCTTTAATATGGCCACAAGATCCGAAACTGCATCTGTGACTGCAGCTGCGACCGCGGATAACTCGTCTGAGATAGAGCTCGAGCCAAGTTCACGATGGAATGAAGTGTCCGGAAACGAACATTTGCTGCCACAAGCTGATGGTGGTAAGGACGCTTGGCTGTTCTTAGCAGCGGCATTCGCAATCGAAATTATGGTCTGGGGTAAGTTCTTTTCAAGATAAGGATGACACCGTCTTTCTTGCACTGGTAGCGATAGCTTGAGAGGACATTTAAATAACATTAGCTAGGCTTTCCCTGGTCATATGGCATCTTTCAAGAATACTACAGCACATCTGAAAACTTCTCTGGTGCTTCCGGTATCCCGGCTGTCGGCACTTCCGCAATGGGTATCCTTTATCTGTCTCTGCCCTTCACCTTTGGATCCTTGATACGGTGGCCACAATACAAAAGAACAATAATGGTTTGTGGACTATTACTCATGTGCATCGCACTCGGATTAAGCTCATTGTGCAACACCGTACCGCAACTTATTGTGACCCAAGGCATCCTTTACGGCATCGGCGGAGCAGTGGCATACAGCCCCACTATAACCTTTCTCGATGAATGGTTCGTAAGAAGGAAAGGTCTGGCGTTCGGTATAATGTGGTCCGGTACAGGATTGGGAGGCGTGGTTGTTCCTCTGTTGTTACAATGGCTCCTAAACAGTTACGGCTTTCGGACCGCGCTACGCGTATGGGCGATTGCGCTCTTTACAATTACCCTTCCCTTGACATACTTCCTCAAACCACGTCTCCCTGTTCCTGCGAACAGCCGCGCAAAGATCACCCTAACATTCTTGTCAAGCAAAGCCTTCTGGATTCTTGAATCTGGCAACGTCATGCAAGCTCTCGGCTTCTTCGTACCTTCCATCTACTTACCGACTTATACCAAGGCTCTAGGATTCGACAATACCATGTCTACAGTACCTGTCATTCTTATCAATATCGCTGCTGTTATCGGCTCAATCACTATGGGAACAATTGTGGACCGCACGCATGTCACAACCGCTATTCTCATCTCTACTATCGGTGCCGTCCTATCTATCTTCCTGATTTGGGGGTTCAGCACTTCATTGCCGCCTTTGCTCATCTTCTGCTTCATGTATGGACTGTTTGCGGGGAGTTTCGCCAATACTTGGCCAGGAATCATGAGGACAGTGCAGCAAAATACTGGACAAATGGAAAGCTCCATGGTGTTTTCATTCCTATCTTTGGGGCGAGGTATCGGGAACATGGTCAGCGGTCCGGTTAGTGAGGCGTTGATGAAAGCAGGCAACGTTGGTGGGTTTGGCCTGTATGGGACACAGTATGGAGGTCTGATCATCTGGACTGGGGTCAGTGCTGCGCTCGGAGGCATTAGCATCATTGGGCGAAGGATTGGGTGGTTATGAAAAGCGGCATGCATGTTCAAATAACAGACTCCATGTTGTGGCAGCGAGTTAAATTTATGGCCGCATGGTTTTTATAGTGAAGTTGTCTTGACTTTATGTTTTTATTTATTAGTAGTGTCTACAAATTGATACATAACCTGTTGCCAAAATCATTAAAGGTACCATTTCTAAGTTATGGAGCGACACCAGATGTTGCGGCCTTTCGGAACATGCGATGAAAGCCCGAGGGTTGACAATACTAGCAAAAAGGCGGCCAAGGAAGCGAATTGTCAGAGTCGTGAACATAGACCAAGGTTGTGCGAATCACCGAACAGGATTGGTATAGTAACATTTGCGAATATACGAACACTTACAGCGCACATGATGTTGTCTGACAACATGGGTGGACTAACAACATACCCTTATTAGAAATCGCCGTCTGTTCATCCATGACTTCTAATTTATCGGAAAGATAGCTTTACAACATCCTTTTGACTGTTTACTGGCCACAATAGGCATGGTTCAATACTACACGCGATATCTGTTGTGTATGAACGGGCTGGATGAAGAGGGTAGATTTCTACGCGTGTGGGGCTCAACTGTGGGTCCTCCACATACCAGGGGACATATCTGGTCTTCCGTATGACCCTGGAAAATGCGCGTGAAAGGGTGAAAAGGCTGTTCTAAGCTTACTCACCGCAAAACAAGCTTTCTCGGCGTTACTGACAGAACGTCACTACCAAGGATCGTGATCAGTCTGGGGTCAAATTTCAAGGACCCTATATTGGCTTTCTTCATCGCGTGGATATGGATAAGGACGGAATGATATATTAAGCGTTTCCAGCGACAGAGTCGCTGGTGGCTGAAAGCCAAAGGAACGGTCTCGTCATAGTTCCTGTTTTCAGACCAGTAGTAGTAAGAAAGAGATGGTCCGTTCACCATGACACGAGATGGGAAAGCAACCCTGAAATATTCGCGGGACATGGCCACGAATGCTCTCGACTGTAATCAAGCTGCCTGGCATGATCATACACGTTATACAGAAGCATTACACCTAACAAACATATTCTTAGGACTGGTTGGCTTCGATTGCCATACCGTTTCCTGTTAATCGAGGCACGCCAGGGCATAACGTACGGGAGTAGTAGTAGCTTGCGCGGTACCTGTGCCGGAAACTAGTTTTAGCTCAATACATGTCAGCTACGTGGGGAGATCTCCGCACCGGAAGGTACCGGCAAATATTACCTTACGTGAGGCTACTGGAAGCACAAGAATTTGTGCATCAAGGCCGAGAATAAACGAATGCTTATTCTACTTGCCATGGGAGGGTATGGGAAGCATGACATAAAGGAGCATTCCATTGTCCTCCGAGAAAGTCACCACACCGCAACTTCTCCAACCATCTAATCATCGAATTCCAACCAAGTTCAATACTATCATTCCCTCAACCCAAACCATCAACATGAAGTTCACTGCGGTCGCTCTCTTTGCAGGCCTTGCCTCTGCCCAGCAAGTCGTCACCCTCTTCGATGCTGTTTACAGCGTGGTCGAAGACGCGAGATCGTACCAAATCGACATCGACCTACCCACCATCGTCAACTGCGCTGCCGAGGAATGGGCCATCGGCGACCGATTCACCTGCTCTGACGCGTCCTGGGCTCTGCAGATTAACGACGAGTATGGCGTTTCTATCAGGATCGATCATATCGTAGACGGGTAAGATACTCCCCTCTCAGCCCAACCTTCACAGCTTGCTTTGTTTACTGACTCTCGTCTTTTTTCAAGTGTAACATACTGCGCCGATGCTGCGATTGAGTTCACCGGCTCCATTCCTGTTTATCAAATCCAGGCTTCCAACATCACTGTTACTCTCGAGCCAGTCTACTAAGGGAATTTCTTCTCCAGGGAAGAAAATTTAGATGGAGATGCGGTTTGAATGGACAAAATAACACATCGATAGAGCATAGCCAATGGACCATGAAATGTGCATTGTGTACAAAATAACATGAATGAAGAATTTACATGAAACATGACATCGACTCCTTTTTTTTGTCATGACTAAGATCATAGTGAATTCTGCCTTGGAATCAAGCCGACATGTACTTATGTATGATGAAGTTGCTTTACATCCTAAATACAACACAGGACAGACTGTCTCATCATTCCATCAGCTGAGCAAATCCGGTTGATTATTACTGGTATTGCGTGCTGGATTGGTCAAGCACCATCGATGTGGTGTTTCCTGGTCAGAGTGGTGTTATGGTGGAAAATCTTTAAGAAATATCTTGGATGCATGTCCACTCATGCCTAGGATAACCAAAATATGTTGCTGTTGAATTTATGGTAGCCAGAATCTGCAAACAAAAGTGTACGAACAGCGAGAGTAATGGAGCTGCGTGGCAAATGACCTGACGGACCCAAGTATGAAGTCTTCCCCATCCTCATTCTCATATCCCTTTCAAGCCTTTCGTTTACGGAGCCCTTCTCTTCTCGGCCCCCGGTCAGTGCTTGGTTTTTGCACCCGATCACTTTCGCCGGGCGTAGTTTTCCGGCTCGCTTTGGCTGTGGTGCTACTACCTGGGCGACGGCCAGTGGCGAGTGTTTGGACTACAGCATCTATCCGTTTTGTCCGCCCCATTTGCGTCCCCGTCTCTATTCTTAACAGGGTTGGGAACTGCTCGCTCTTGTTCATGCTCTCCCAAACTGTTTTAGCAGCTGGTACCTTTGCGAGCGCAATCTTGAAATCCTCAGGTACTACAATTGTGGCTGGGCCTGCGTATGCGCGGTCCCATCTCCCGTCGGCCTTTGCAGCATCGACCGTAGCCAGCCCTGCAGGTCGCATGCGGCCCTCTTCGATAAGGCGCGCTACCGTGCCTACATTCTTCTTGGACCAGATACTCTTTGCGCGACGAGGTGTATAGCGAATCTTCCACCAAGTATCGTCAATGGAGTTTGCACGGCCATCGATCCAGCCATAGCATAGCGCAACCTCGACGGCTTCAGCTGCGGTAATAGAGGGTATGCCAGAGCTCTTTTTCGCGAGTTTTACGAAAATGCCTGGAGCGTTTGTATGCTCGCGGTCGAGAAATGCTTCGAAGTCAGCTGGTGTAGCGAAGGCCTGTGTAGGGAATTCAGAGTCTTGAGATTGAGTGGCCATGGCTGTGAGCGGGTGCGCGTAGATGTGGAGGTGCACCAAGGGAGCACATGCAAGCCGTCGTTGTTTGCAGGTCAAGGCTATTGGAGGAATTACGAAGTTCACTCTTTTTGGTAGCAGAAACATGCACAACTTTGTGTCGGAAAACCTAATGGGTAATGAGTGCGGAGACATTCATTGTGTTAAAGGAGGCTAAGGTTGCGGTGGAAGAGCGTGTCGGGCGCCCTACTATCACGTGAGGCCGTCAAGAACCCCCGATAGATAGCCACAGTTTGGAGAGAGACACCACTGTCTCAGTTTCCACCAACTCTGATACATCAATCTCACGATAAAAAATATAAAAGTCTGCTCCTTTCCTCTTTGTAAGAGTTAGATCGGATGTGACCAACACCATGTAGTTTAGGCGAGTATCTCTGTTGAACCAAGAATTAGGTTCCCAAATACCTCATTCAAGATATACAACGATGCAACACACTGTCACTAGTTTAGTTTTATTTTATTTTTGCAAGTCGTCATGGCTTGCAAAACAGGGCTGGAAAACTTGTTCACCTTCCGTGTGGATTGCTCACACTTTTGCCGAAGACACGATATTCACTCCTGGGTACTTGGGCACACAAAGGCGAGGAATGGAGTTCGGCCCACAAAAACGAAGGAGAGACATGGGTGTCGTGAAGCTGCCATGCTCGTCCATGGAAGGTTGGATCGAGGCACACGCATGACCAAAGATAGATTCAGCTCTATTTCGAAGAGCAAGTACCTAAACGCCGGTCGCTATTCAAGTGGTCTGTTTGAGATGTCCCAGGAGGTTGACCATGTCAGACAATGAAGTCTTTTTCATCTTTCCTGGGCCCCAAACCTTTCTTTACACCATCTTTCAATATATCCCAGTTCACACCATCCAATCTCCGTCCACGAGTAGCTACATCAGAAGCGACATCTGCGAGCTTGCCTGTAGCGATTCTGCGCATCATCACGAAATCTTGAGCGTTTGGAAATGTCCGCCCCCTGCCCTCGGTGAGAAATTTCTCAATGAACTCCTCTTCTTCCTTACTAAAAGGTAGGCTAACCAGCTCATAGGCCTTAGCATCTCGCGTGTACACATCGTGTTCTGAACGATCTGCCCACGCATTGTGGTCCAGCGTCTCCTCGATAAGGATCTCGAGAAGTGGCTTCTGCTCGAATTCGGGTCTGTTGTGGATCCAATCGTACATATCGGTGACATTACGACCAGCAAGATACTTTGCGAATTCGACTCGTGTCTTTTCATCCTCTAGCGGTGGTTTAACACAGTTGTAATATGCAAGTGCCAGTTCGTCGTCTTTGGGACCACCTCCCATACCCAGACTGCTCAACTTGTCTCCCCCAGTTAGCAGAGTGTGCATAATCTCGTCTGGAAATGTCGGTATTATGCTCGGATGCGTCAAGTGCCCAACCGCAGTTGAGAACTGAAGGTGATCGAGAAACCACAGCCCTTCAACAAATGTCCAGAACCTTTTCTCGAGATGCACGTCCTTAGCGAATGCCTCCGAAAGTTCTGTTGTGTCATGATGTTGTGGCGATAGGTCTTTGAGCAGATAGAAGACGAGGCAATGTTTGTTGTGTAATGTTGTCTCGGCGGAGATGATGCGCTGATGGAGATCCTGGAGTTGTTGCGGGGATTTGGGCGGATACAGCTTGCTTCCTATATCACCTGGTCAGTGTTTACTCAGGGTAAGTTTGTGTAGAGCCTTACCTTTGATCTGGAGGAGGGCTAGCAACCGCTCAAAGTATGTGCGACCACCAAGGGCAGTTCGATATGACTGAATTTCTTGTACGAGGCCCTCATTGTAGTTAAGGCCACGATAGACTGCGTCAAAATCTTCAATGTCAAGCATTTCTGCGATGGGCTACAGTCCGGGCTGGTTTGCTTCGCGCCGGGGTTGGTGGTGGACGTGTTGTCGTCGGCGCACCCAAGATGCAGGGCACGCGTTCTCACGTGAAGACTGCCTTGGCGTCCAGAGCACAAATACACAGCAGTCAGTGCACACCACTGTATTTTCAGACATCATCTATTCTGGCTATGAAATCATTCCATCACTTGGCACAAAAAACAATCGTAGCACGATATGATACGCAACTTTCAAATCGACACATGCAATGAACGTCGAAGATAGACCGCGACATCGCCAGCGACTGCGAATCGCATGTGATTCCTGTCGAGAGCGTAAAAGAAAATGTGATGGAGGACGACCTTGCAATATGTGCCTTGGTTATGGGTACGACTGCTCCTATCGTTCAACACCCCGCAGCCGGCAATCACAAAGACGCGCAGTCCGGCCCCAGAGCATAGTGGTACAGGAAGCAAGCCCAACACCTGCTGCAGGGACTTCGTCACTACACTTAGATGATCACCAGCCGGCCCAGCCAGTCCAGCCGACCCAGCGACTTCAGCAGCAAGTTTCAGAGAATCATGACCCGCAAGAATTAGGCAATGGCCACCAGCATTCACCCGCATACCTGCGATCCGTCGAAAGCAACTCTGGAGCGGCTTTTGCACGCCTGCTTACAGTGGCACTCGAATCGTCTGATCAGAGTGCTTCTCCAATGCGAATGCTCGCATGGAACTTGTTTCTTGGAGAAAGACAAGCAGCGATACCGGTACAGCAGGAGGCTCTCACAGACATTCTATCAGAACCAGAGATGCGACATCTAGCTAGCATCTATTTTGAAAAGTTTCATCCATGTTATAGCTTCATTGACAAGGATATGCTGCTCCAGAGTATATCCGACAATTGGAATCAGCAAAAAACACACAATGCCTTAGAAGCTCTTCTGAGTGGTGTCGGTGCTCTCGCACTTCTGTTTTCGAATACTCAAGACGTGGAAACTGAATCGAGACTCGCTTCACTTGCTAAACGTCTGCTGGACCCATCATGTGCTGATCCTCCATCACTATATAGTGCTACTGCGTGGGTGCTTCGCACTGCATACTTACGGGTTACAGCAAAGCCAGAAGAGGCATGGTTAGCAAGCTGCAGCGCTCTCCACATCATTGATGCTGCAGGGCTGATCCACTGTACCAGCCGGAGTAGTGCCTTCATCACATCTCAAGACCCAGTCAGTATCCATCTTCGGAAAAGGGTGATTGGCGTAGCACAACACCTGAACATATGGATGTCATATGACCTAGGTCGGAGTCGTGTGTCTCTGCCTAACTTTGACAATACCCCGCTGACTCCGCAAGCCGGGGAATACACAGTGGAATTGCTGGATCTCCTGCCATACTCACAGGACCTGGACCCGACTAACGAACTAAGTGTGGACCGGCTTGTTAAAGCATTGGTGAACGTCTTGGAGCGAACACATAGCGAACCACCATCTGTACTTGCACAGTGCAACTTGATGCTGTGCATTCATCGTAGACTTCATGCCTCAAAGCTCGAGATATCTGAGAACCTCATGGCCAAGGTCCTCGGTTTGATTCAAAAAAGTATACAGGCTGTTCGATCCAACATTGCAGCACACCTTCCCTGGCACCACGTAGCCAACATACCGTTTCAGACAGTTTGCACACTCCTCGTTATCGATACTGCACAGTCTTTTACACTTTTGTCTGAGGCCCTGGCTTGTGTCATCGCCGTGAATGAAGCGTACCCAACTGAGGCGACACGAGAAGCTGCTGTTGCTGCATGTACGCTGCTCCGGCTGCACCGAAGGCGAAGGGAAGCAGAGATCAAGAAGCACTCTGACATGTTGGGCCTATACCCTTCTGTGGATTTTTTCTTGCAGGAGAATCATGGTGATCCTCTGAGCAGCGACTCTCTGCAGGAATTTTCTTGGTTCAATGAGTTTTTAGCTAATTCGGATCTAGCATCAGGTCTTGATCCGTTCATGTAAGCACTATAGCAATCGTGAACTAGTAAAGTACGGTTCAGAGATTCTATATCACATTTTCTAATCTTAGCGGACCGATTCACGGTTAGTTGTACGTTCAACAGGGAGAATTATGCTCATTCGATCCGCGGCGGAAAGAGTCGTGCGGTTCCCTCCGAATATCCTCCATATCCGCAATACCCGCTTTGCCTTACGATCCACAAACATGAAATGCAACATGTAGGGGAGAATGTGCACGGATATCACTATAATATTTCTATAAGCTTAACATACACACTCTTCTATCAGAAAGTCCTAGCTCCCTTGTGGAATTTACAATGTTCTCTGAATGCATGCCCCATCGGTATCTACTCCACTTGCAGTCCTACCGCAGTTAACACCTGATTGGGAATTTTGCCAATATCACGTATCAATCCATCACCCAATAGACTATATGCGATCTCTGTGAAACTGAAGAGAGGTTGCTTGATCAAAAGAAGGTCGCGGAACAAGATACACAAAGTGCGGATATTGCGGGCAATGCGGAACCAGTGATGAGAAAACCGTAGTTTTGTTCTCACTCTTACCTGAACATCGCTTTACATACATAGTTTGGGAGAATAAAGAAATTGCAAAACCGCCCTGCCTCGTCTGTTATCACAATCCAAACAAAAAAACAATAGCTTCACTTCTCGATCAAGGACGACCACTACTCAGCAGAGATGCATCAACACCCTAGCACTACACCCTGCGACCCCAACGAGGTTTGTCACGCCCGCAACGAGAACAAGCCAGAAACGGAACAAGAGATTTCGGGTGGTGCACAGAGTCCGAATCATGGAGTCACATTCGACTCGCCGCACGATGACCAGAACCCACAGGACTGGGCGCCATGGAAAAAGTTACGTACCCGCACCCAACCCACCTTTGGTCAAAAAACCAGAGTGTAAGGAGATAAAACATAAGCTCCACTCAAAGACATCGAAACACTTCAGCTAACATGAGCGTCGACTGAACAGACTCGTCATCTCTACCACCGCATGCACGGGAACCTTGATCGCAAGCTTCAACAGCGCAATCTACAACGCAGCTGTTGCACCCAGCAGCACCGAGTTCAACGTGGCAAACAGAGTCGCAGTACTGGGTACCAGCCTCTTTGTGCTAGGCTTCGCATCTGGCCCCGTAATATGGGCTCCAGGGTCTGAAATGCTTGGGCGCCGTTGGCCACTTGTGTTTGGCGTCTTCGGATCCTGCGTATTTACGTTTGGAAGCGGCATGGCGGAGAATGTGCAGACACTCATCGTGTGCCGGTTCTTTGCGGGCTTGTTTGGCGCAAGCCCTCTGTGCGTTGTTCCTGCTGTGCTGGCAGATTTGTACAACAGCACGTTTCGCGGTGTGGCGATATCGCTGTATGCGCTGACGGTGTTTGGGGGTCCGTTTCTTGCACCCATCGTTAGCGATTTCATCGTTGCAAGTCACTTGGGGTGGCGTTGGACGCTATATCTTCCTGCGATTTTAGGGCTTGCTAATTCCTTGTTCCTATTGCTATTGTTCCGGGAGACTTTTGCCCCATTGGTACTGGTGCAGAAGGCGCAGCTGCTGCGGCGGCAGACTGGTGACCGGAACATTTATGCTGAACAAGAGAGACTGAAGCTAGATGTCCACGCTGTGGTGAAAAAATACCTTATTCGACCGCTTCGCATGCTAGCGACGGAGCCCATTATCCTCTTGGTATCCATGTATATGTCGTTCATATATGGATTAGTTTATGCACTTCTAGGGGTATATCCATATGTATTTCAGCATGTCCATGGCATGCCGGCCGGAGTACGGACTTTGCCATTTCTCGGACTACTCCTGGGTGTGGTTTTAGCTCTTCTCTTTATCCTTGGTCAACACAGGCCGTATTGTCGCAAGCTAGAGGCAAACAATGGGAAGACAATACCAGAATGGCGGCTTGGACCTGCTATCTTGGGAGCTGTTGTGTTCACGGTTGGTCTATTCTGGTAAGTCTTATGCGTAACCATTAACTTTTTTTTTTAAAAAAAAAAAAGACTGATGGTTCTGCTCAAGGTTTGCTTGGACAGGCTTCACTAATGCTATCCATTGGATGGCGCCAACTGCAGCCGGGGTATTTATTGGGTTTGGAGTGCTCTGCATCTTTTTGCCTTGCTTCAATTATCTCGTTGATGCTTTTCTGCCTCTGTAAGTAACGTTTAGTCCTTGAGTGCGCCTTTGCCAATCACGTTGACTGATATGTCAACTCAAACCAGAGCAGCTTCCGCAGTTGCAGCCAACATTATGCTCCGTTCAGCAGTTGCAGCTGGTTTCCCTTTATTCTCTACTCAGATGTTTGGAAATCTCGGGATCCAGTGGGCAGGGATGCTCCTCGCCTGTCTCGCCACGATCATGATACCAATCCCGATAGTTTTCCGAGCATATGGACCGGCCTTGAGAGCAAAGAGCAAGATCCTGGTGGAAGCCGCTAGTGAAGTGATGGTATGAAAACCAAAAGGCTAGAGGAAGTGTGTATCCGATGAGCGGATGATATGTTAGTCACGACGTAAAGGGGAAAATAATATTAAAAGGCTTAATGTGGTGAGGGGAATGCAAAGGTTCGAGAGCGAAGAATATGCATACGACGATGAAATACGACGTCGAATCAATGCGCAGGAAGATTGCAAAACTAGTTGCGATCGATCGAATGAGCACAATATTCAACATTGCATGGTGTTGCAGGATTTTGAATCCACTATCCGATTTTCGTCCGTCAGTAATGGGCAGCCCAGACTCATAAACAAAGCAAATATTTGCTCACCGTCTACGCGGAGCATTTGGAGGCCAGACCCCAGCACAGAGCGGTCAGATGTGCATGACGTAATGGCATGGATTGATGTGAGCCCCGCATGTGTTATCTGCTGGGAGAGGTGTATAATCCTTACAAGACGTTGGTTGCAACAATTAGACGCTTTCATAAAAGTCGCGAAGCAGATGGCATGATATGGACGAGGAGGGGAGCGTGGGGATTCGCGACATTCCGGAGGGTTGGCAAAGGAATTCGGATGTCCGTAATTGCCGGTCCCGAAAGACGAGGGTATCATAGGCCATACTATGTACATAGTAGTACATACATGTGCGAAGAGAGGTCGAAGACTGGGCATCGACTGCCACGGAGACTTGGAGGTCAGACAATGTCCGGAATGTTGACAAAGTAGGTAAAGTCGATATGCGGGTATTTGAGGTGGAGTCTGGCACCACCTCACATCACATATTGCACATGTCGCATCGAGCGATCGGTGGCCGTCTGCACTACCAGCATCAACCAACACGGCGAGCACTAGGCAGAAGAATGCAGGCCCATTCGTTCTGTTGTGATGAGTCAAAGCCAAGCTGCAGGGCTGAGTGGCTGGGTGGATGGGTGGATGGGTGGATGGGTGGATGGGGTAGATGGGGTGGCTGCTCACACTTGGTGTCTTATGTTAGTAATGCGTGTGCCGACCAAAGCATGCAACCGTCAACAGCGCAGACAAGATGGCCAAAAGCCGGAACCCCAGCTCTAGTGCAAACCTACTACCAGAACAAGTCTGGGTTGTGTGCATAAGCCATGGACTACGGATGGTAGAAACCGATGACAGTTACATCTGGGTACAAGTTGGCCAAGTTACATCACGGTGAGCTTCAGCGTATATCAGGGCGGAAGCGGGCGGATGGCGACAGAGTAGACGAGCATCGAAGCCAGCGCGTATGTACAATGCCTGTCGCCTGTCGCCTGACCGCGCCTTGCCAAGTGCGAGCAAAGCTTCTGAGGAATACTGGTAGAGGCGTGGCCCACGTGATGCTGATCCATGCCAGCGCCAATGGTTTCTTGAACGCCTGAGGCTCGGACAAAGCCTGGAGTTAGTAGGTGGTGATTTGAAATTTGCACACCACCACGGGTACTAAGAGAAAAAAAATTTAGTAGCCATGATCTCACAGGTGGTCCAGGCGGATACAAACGTATTAGCTTCCGATGTATCCTGCACGGGCCGAGCATCACGATACTGCACATGTCTATGAACATAGTAGACGAATATCCGATGCAAAGAATGCCAGGGCAAAGAGCGGATGATCGATACGGATGGTGAGAGGGATCCAAGCCCACCCAAGTGGCTGGACTGCCCTTCTGACCTGTTGGTCGCAGCCACGCCATGGCATGATGCAGCGAGTGCTGGTGCGGCAAAGGATAACGCTGCGTCCTGGAACTCGCCATATGGGTGTCTGGCAGGGCAAAGACTCAGCCGTGGGATTGGATTGGGTGTGTGTAAAGAGAGGGTCCTTTTTTTTAAGTACAAGGTCGTTAGCGGTGGCTGATGGCTGATGAGTGATGGGACGGTGGGAGGCGGCGGGTGGGGAGTAGGCGTGTGGTCTGTGCATGTCCAGACCCACCTTGGGCAAGACAACTGCACTCGGCCATGTGGACGTCACAACTGGCAAAAGACGCGATGCAATGCGATCGGAATATTCTCGACGCTGACAAACTCGCGTAGCCATGACCTGCTCCAATTCACAGTTCCGCAACTTCCGGCCCAAGTAGTATACATGCAAGGCGCACCCCCTCTGGTAGTGCTGGCCAGTTGGCTGTACACCAGTACTTGATACCTTTTCCGTTTGCTGTTTCCCTTGGATTCACCTTGCCTCCTCTTGCTTCTTTGGCTGCACATACCTACCGGCTACAGTCTCGCTGTACAACCGAGTCGCACAGTTTCCTCTATTCCCTTCTACTCGCGCTTTCGCATCGCATTCCTGTCAAGACTACACCATTCCTACTGAATACACTCATCATGAGGCACCGTAGGGGTCTTGCGATAGCTGCTGCGGCACTGCTACTAGAGCTTGTGCCGCTGGCAGTCGCCCATGGTGGCGACAAAGCCATGGATATGAATGCGCATGATATGCCCAAAGCGCAGCCTCAACAAGCCGGCTTCGGAGGCTACTGGAGTCTTTCTGAGCATGCTTCGCTCATGTATTGGCACATTGGGCTCGAAGTGTTGGCCTGGGTCGTTGTCCTACCAATAGCCGTCATGTTCAGTATCTCGCGTTCGCGCTTTACTCTGCTATCGCAGTTAGTCTTCCTTGCTACCAATGCACTTGCGCTTGTGCTTGGCCTCGTCTACAATCACAAGACACCAGAAATGTATGCAGGAAACGCGCACCGCAAGGCTGGTTGGGCCATTACATGGATTGCTTCGGCATGGGTGTTTTTGGCTCTGGTCCAGGTCTATGCTGGCATGCACGACAAGGAGTCGGTCGAGGATCAATTCAAACACTCCATGACTGCTGCAAATATGCTCAGATACCAGCGTGTACAGGACGATGAGCTCTCGGATTCATCAAGATGGTCGGGCGATTCTGGCCAAGGTACCGAACGAAACTCGGCTTCATTGTACGACCCATCCCCATCACCCAGCGTCGAGTCCGAAGTCCAGCAGTTTATCGGCCAAAACCATGATGATGCGCATGACGATGACTCTGGTGAAAATGATAATGAAAAGCACCATCTTCTACACAACACGCCCGTCGACCGCTTCTTGGCTCGCAACGTCGCCCGCTTTGCTGTGGGCCGTACACTGAAAGCGATCCGATTTTTCTATGTCCTGGTTGAGCGTACCATCCTGATCCAAGGCTTCGTGGCCATTGTCAGTGGTGCTGTCGTTTATGGAGGCATCGGACGAGGAGGTGCCGTCTTCAATGTTCTAGCGCACACGGTCAAAGGAGGGATCTTCTTCGTGTACGGTTTCCTCACGCTCGGCCGGTGGATGGGCGCATTTGCAGACTTTGGATGGGCGTGGAACGTCAAGCCGCCCAAGGAGGTTGTTGGTCGTTGGCGAGCCGCGCTACCGTCGGCGGAGTTTACTGAATCCTTTGTCATCTTTCTCTACGGTTGTACCAACGTCTTCCTCGAGCATCTGGCTGCATGGGGCGACGCCTGGACTGCGCAGGACTTGGAGCACGTCTCCATCTCCATCATGTTCTTCGGTGGTGGTTTGGTAAGTGGCTTGTCACGGCTCCTTCACTCTAGCGCGACATTAGCTAATCTCCTTCCTAGTTGGGAATGTGCATCGAGTCGAGCAAAATGCGCGATCTGCTCAACAGCGGCGTTGCGGCCTCGCAGGCTGCCTCTGTAGAACACGAGGCATGGCAGCAGCCACGCCAGTACCGCTTCTCCATGAACCCTCTGCCGGCTTTGATCATTATGCTGCTCGGCAAGATGATGAGCTCTCACCACCAGGACTCGATGGTTTCGACCATGATACACAGCCAATGGGGGTCCATGTTCATGGGCTTCGCACTTGCACGTGCTCTCACCTACATCACCCTGTACATTTCGCCGCCAACATCCTTCCTTCCATCCCGGCCGCCAACCGAGATTGTGACTGCATTCTGTCTCATCTCAGGCGGCATCACTTTTATGGTCAGCAACAAGGATACCGTTGCAGCTCTCGAATCATACAACCTGGATGCCATGTTCATCTTCACAGTCGTCATGGGACTCACCGCGCTTCTCATGGCTTGGACCACAGTTGTCATAGCCATCAAGGGCTGGGCCTTGCGCAAGGAGAGCAGTAGTCAATGGTCCAAGAGCCACACTGGTGTCTTGGCTTGATTGCTTGCTAGACAGTATCAGTCTCGAGCACGCTGGCTTGCTCTAATAGTCATGCATCCTGGAAGCTGGACTTTTCCTTTGATACCCCACTTGTTCCCTTGTTTACGACCCGATGTTTCTTTTTCTTTTTCTTTTTTGGTTTCATGACATTGCTGCAGTATACCCATTTCCCCAAGGACGGCGACAGCCTGGATAGCTGCAATAATACCCTTGTTTGTTGCAATCATGGCAGCGGTAATGGCAGGGCAGTGGAAGGACGGGTTCCTTCGGCAACGAGCGGCTCATAATGATCATCAATATTGGATAACGGACACACGCTCTTGGTACTGATGACGGCGAGTGCTCTGGGAGGCACATGGGGTGGAGCAATTACGAATAATTAAGCTTGGTTTATCTCATAGATTTTCATGGACTGTGTAGTACTCATCTGGGTATCAAATGTAAAGCCGTCAAATTCCAAGCACCCCGCAGCTTCTTTACCGTACTCCTCGCCCCCGGCCGGCAACGCCTCTTGCGATGCCTGTACCGCCTCTTGCGCCCCTTGTGGTGCCGCCGCGGGTAGGGATACCGCCGCGCCCGCCAGCGCGTGGTATGCCTCCCCTACCTCTTGGTAGGCCCGATGTTTTGGCTGCCGGCGCAGGCGTCTGAGGCTTGGATGGAGTCTTGCTGCTTGGGGGGTTGTCAACAAAGGATGTGTCGGTGGTCAAAAAGGTCGCCTCCATGTCTTCTGGCCCCAGCGAGCGGCTGAGGTTAGCAGCCCCGCCGTCGGGCTGGTTCTGTGGCCGCTTGAAGGACTCGTGGATTGGGGCCTGGAGATGGTTGTCAGTAGCTGTTGTACCATGGTTCCGCTTTGAGACGCTGTCCTACGCACCTCTGGGAAGTCGACGCAGAAGGCGTTCATGTTCATGCCGTAGAGAAAAGCGGCAAAGCTCTCGGAGAAGCGGGCCAGGCTCTCGTGCATCAATTGAAGCTGTACGAAGTTTTGCTCGAGGTCTGCCATGGCGTCGCTCAACTCTGCAAAGCCATCCTGGAGACCTTGGAGCGCATTGTCGGAAGCAGAGGCGGCACGGCCGCGCTGGGAAGAGTCGCGTAGGGAGGAGCGCGAAGAAGGGCGAAGGGGCGTCGTGGGGCGGGAGCGAGGGGACTTGCTACGGGTGCGCCGGTAGGAGGGGGTTGTTGTAGGTGTTGTGGACGCCATGGAAGATTGGGTGTTGTTGTTGTTGTTGGTGGTGGTGGTGGTGTTGGTGGTGTTGGTTTTGTTGTTCTTGTTGGCTGAGGGGCAGGGCCCTGGAGTATGTAGTAATGGCACACGAACGCGAGGGGCTGCTTGAGCTCTCGAGGCCAACGGTGCACTGATGGAATGCAGATTGGCTGTATTCACGTGTATACTCACATGCCTGCGTACCTACATAGCTCTATGCGTACAAAATAACCAGGGTCGCTCGCCTGCCCGTCCGCCCGCCCCCACGCGCTAGGACAATTGCATCGATGATGGCATTGCTCGAGTCGGTGGTACCGATAATGCACATTCTCCCCTACATATGCCCATCGCATCCTGTGAACGCATATGCGTACTTTCCTACATATGCCCCTCGCACGCGCAGAGGTCAGCGATTTAGCCAGAGTCGCTCCCTTCAGGCGGCCCGCCGTCTCGCCCGTCTCCCCCTCCGCCTTGCTTGTCCGTGTCTGCTCCGCCATAAGGCGCGAAGGCACTGCTGCGCCGCCCGACCCGGCACCACCGCCCGACGTCACCCTAGTGGGCACAAGTCCCGCTCACTTTGAGCCTCAGCAAAGTGACATTCATGTTGCGTCGCGCACAGCCCCAGCGACAACTATTGCAGACCTCCTTCATAAAGCTTCGACCCTCTGCCAATCCTCTCCACCACCTCCACGCCCCCTTCTTCGCCTCCTATAGCCCCGCCCGCCTAGTCACGCGGGCATATATAACACATCATCGCCGGCACTGCACGACACATACACCACACAAGAACAGCGGGCTCAACCTCTGGGCTGTAGCAGTAGTCGCAGGTCTCGCCATTGGCGGCGCTCTTCTTGTGCCTTTTGTACCAAGCTCTTCAGGGGCAGAGACCGCAAAAGCCCCTCGCTCGACCAAGTCCGCCGCCGCCTACGACTTTGCAGACTCGTATCTAGTCATGGCGCCAAACACCCCAGCCGGCCGACCGGGCACCCTCACACCCGACCAGGAGAAGAAGCTGCGCGAGCTTTGGGGCATCGTGTTAAAGATTTTTGGCGTCGAGGTGGGGTCGGACCAAACAAACGGGACAGCCGCACCGGCCGACGAGGAAGTGCTGTCGCCTACAGCAGACGGGAAAAAGGACAAGAAGAAGAGCCGTTTGCATGTCTTCAAGAGAAGCAAGGGGGACAAGAGTGCAGACGACAAATCGTCGACTACGTCGGAAGCGTCGACTCCTACTGCAGACCTAAGCAAATTATCCATATCTGCCGAAGATGACAAGTTTGGCCAGACTGCAGAGTTCAAGGCCGCAATAGCAAACATTCCCCCAGAGGAGCTCCGGAAAACCTTTTGGAGCATGGTCAAGCACGACCATCCGGATGCGCTCCTCCTTCGCTTCCTGCGCGCCAGGAAATGGGACGTTGAGAAGGCGCTGGTCATGATGATCTCAACAATGCAGTGGAGGCTGAACGAAATGCATGTCGACGACGACATCATGAAGAACGGTGAGCTTGCCGCTCTCGAGACCACGGCGACGGACGCAAAGGAGAAGAAGAACGCAGACGACTTCCTGGCGCAACTGCGCATGGGCAAGAGCTATTTGCACGGGTTGGATAGTGAGGGAAGGCCAATGTGCTTTGTTCGCGCAAGATTACACAAGGCTGGTGAGCAGACTGAAGAGAGTCTGGAAAGATTCACCGTCTACTTGATCGAGACGGCGCGCATGCTGCTGAGGCCGCCGATTGATACAGCCGTATGTTGAGGTGATGATGAGACAGCAGAGTGTTTAGACTGACGCCTACAGACCATCGTTTTCGACATGACCGACTTTTCCATGGCCAACATGGACTACACACCTGTCAAGTTTATGATCAAATGTTTTGAAGCAAACTACCCCGAATCTCTTGGAACCGTCTTGGTCTACCGCGCACCCTGGGTGTTCAACGCGGTCTGGGCTGTGCTCAAGGGATGGTTAGATCCTGTTGTTGCCGGCAAAGTACACTTTGTAAAGAACGTACAGGACTTCAGCACCTTTGTGCCCAAGTCGCAGATTCCGACCGAGTTGGGCGGAGACGAAAAGTGGGAGTACAAATACCCGGAGCCCGTACCTGGTGAGAATGACAAGATGAAGGAGGAAGGACCGAAGCAAGAACTGCAAAAGGAGAGGCAGGACATTGTAGACAAGTACGAGGCTACAGTAGTCGAATGGGTTCGTGTAGGTGACGGCGCGTCGCTAGAAGAGAAGAGGAAAGCAAGAGACGTGCTAGCAGAGCAGCTGAGGCAGAATTACTGGAAGTTGGATCCGTATATTCGAGCGCGTTCGCTATACGACCGCCTGAAAGTGATCCAAGACGGAGGCAAACTCGACTTTTACAACAAGGCGGCCGAGCCTGCTGGCAGCACACCTACTACAGCTGGCGAGACGAGCGCCGACGACGTTGACTAGGGCTTGAAGGCTCTGGTGCTTGGGCGACCGTGGTACTTTGAACTCTCAACACCCAGGCCAGTGGTTCGAAGCAGTAGAACAAAAAAAAACATTTTTTTTCTCTGCACGTGCACGCAGCCTCTAGATATTCTCATTGCTGATACTCTAGCTAATGAGAAGGCTCTTGTCTCTAGTCGTTTGTTTTGTTGTTACTTTCTTCTTCTCTTCTCTTTTTTTTTTTGACTTTTTGCCCTCCTCGTTCCATCACGCATTGCAACAAAGACAAGGACCAAAAGGAAACGGAAATAAGACGGGCAAGGGAGGGGAAAAACGGACAGAGAGACAGATGCATACACAGGTATACACATGGACTCACATGTACAGCACTCTAGTTATCGTAATAATATTCACCCTCTTCTTTTTTCTCTCTCTCTCTCTCTCTCTCTTTCTCTTCTCTCTTCTTTGTTGTTTCCCAAGTTTGGCTGTTTTGTTGGCGTTTTAACCTTTGCTACCGTGACTCGACATAGTTTGATACTTCGCGCCGCCCCTTTTTTTCTCCTCATTCTCGCAAACCAACCTTGTTTTGAGAATTGACCTGTCGCGTGGTCAATTTCCAATAACGACGACGACAACAACAACAACAACAACACCAACAAAACCTTGGGCCAGAAGCAGGCAGACACGCAAACAAGAACAACAAGACAGGAACACAAGCAGCATAAACGGCGGTGTGTTTGAAACTTGGCTCCATTTGCCCATATTGACCGGACAAGCGCGGGTGTGGGCGCGCGCGCGTGCGTGTGAGTATGTGTGTGTGTGCGCGACTTTGTTATATGCATGCATGTCGAGTACCCAGATAAAAAAAAGAGCGTGGCTAGACCAAAGTGTATTGTGCTGTGAGCAAGTCCGGCTGGGATCGAAACGTACAGTATCAATCGGACATTTTAACTCGTCACATGTGGCACTCTGGGGCTTTTTCCCGATCTGCATCGTGCGGCTAGTCAGCGGAATTACGTCATACCCCTATTCGTCGTTGCTTTTGTCTTCCTTCTTCCTTGCTTTCTTCTTTTTGCTTCTTAACCTCTTTGAACACTGTATCACCGCCCTCGGCGCGCCAGCCGCCCAACCCCCTATTTTACTTTTACCCTTTCCTTTCCCCTTGCCTAATCTGCCCATCTCGTGTCTTGTTTTGCCCGTCGGGGGTTTTTTGATTCGTTTATTGCTTGCGAGGAGGGGCCATGTGGGCACATGGGAATAGATGCATGGGTGTGAGTTTACTTACTGGGGCCCGGAGACGCTAGGTCGACACTACACCAGAAACAAACGTCTCTCCACGCCGACTCGTCTTGAGTGTTCAATGTCTTTTTTCAACATTTTGCT